AGGAGATCTCATATGAGGTGATTACATGCGACTGAGTTATGTATGTATTGCATCTTCTAATGGTGCTTGTTTCATTTTGGTCTTGTCTTTTTATCTGTCTGAGCAGGTAAAATGCTTACCTGAGTTCAAGAGTCTAGAGTCAAGAGCTAGAAACCTCATCTTTCTTTTTGATGTTTGAGTTGCTCACAGTTAATTGAGATTTCTTCTGTTTAGTACAAAAGTACTATTATTTCTAATATTTTTTTTGTTTTCTTTTTGGCCTGTATTCAAGACCTAGGATAGAGTAATGCCAGGCACAAGTATAAATTGTGAGGGGAGTGGCTAGAGAGCAGCCCTGCAGAAAGGGATCTGGGGGTGCTGGTTGACAGCAGGCTCAATAGGAGTTAGCCATGTGCCCTGGCAGCCAAGAGGGCAAACCGCATCCTGGGGTGCATCACGCACAGTATAACCACTGGTCAAGAGAAGGGATTATCTTACTGTGTTCAGCATTGGTGTGGCCTCACCTGGAGCACTGTGTGCAGTTCTGGGCCCCACAATTTAAAAAGGATAGGAAGGTCCTTGAATGTGTCCAGAGGAGGGCAACAAAGCTGGTGAAAGGGCTGGAAGGAACATCCTGTGAGGAGCAGCTAAGGACTTTGGGCTTGTCTGTTTTGGAGAAAAGGAGGCTGAGGGGCGACCTCATTGCTCTTTAGAGCTTCCTTAGAAGGGGAAGTGGAGAAGAAGGTGCTGAGCTCTTCTCCCTGGGATCCAGTGACAGGAGGTATGGGAATGGTTCGAAGCTGCACCAGAGGAGGTTTAAACTGGATGTTAGGAAGCATTTCTTTACCAAGGGAGCAGTCAGACACTGAAACAGGCTTCCTAGAGAGGTGGTCGATGCCCCAAGCCTGTCAGTGCTTAAGAGGCATTTGGACAGTGCCCTTAACAACATGCTTCAGCTCTTGGTCAGCCCTGAATTGGTCAGGCAGTTGGACTAGATGATCATTGTAGGTCCCTTCTGACTGAAATAGTCTAGTCTATTGTTGTTTGCTACTCTGGAAATAAAAGTACTTGTGCTAGTACACTGCTAAATGGTATCCTAAATTAAGGAAATGTTTTATGATGCTGAAATAATATATTTGTGTGTATCTATAGGAAACTTTAATGTTTGCAATTAATTTTATTCTGTTGAAGGTCTCTTGCATTTCCATTAATGTGATTGTACTTATGGTAGTATGCTGATATACTAGGATCATGCTCTTCTGAACAGAACACTACAGGAACATTATTCTTCAGAAAGAGCATGCTGTAAAACATTAGATCAATGAACAATAAATTTTATTAATCTAAATGCTATGTTATGAGCAGAGGTGTTTCACAGTAGGACTGTTTAAATCCTTTTGAAAGGGAACGTGTCCGTCACTGAAAAATACAGTAGGCACTGGGACTTCACAGTGGGTGACTAGCTAAGCTGAATAGACAGCAAGGAGAATGGCATGAGACTTTGGAAAGCATGCTTAATTCTCTCTTCTCATGTTTCTTAATTAACAGCATGGCTGATTGTAAGACAAATTTGTTTCCTTCTAGTGATGTGAGAATGCGTGTGACTTCTCTGAGGCGCTGCGGACTGACTGTCACACACAAACAATTCTTGATTCATTTGAGCTAATGATCTTACTCCTAAACTGCCCATTAGTTGCCCCCTGAAAAGCACTGAGAGTCTTCATCTCTTTTGTGACGAGAGTGAATGGTGTTTAGCCATCAGCCAGGAGATTTGGACTACAGAGGAATTCTTCCCTCATCTTAAAATGCTCTTATTTTCAGCACGGCACTGATTGGAAGTCTTTAGGAGTATCTCTTTCCTTTTGTTATTTCCTCTCCAAAAGACAGTCAACAGCCTCAGCTTAGTACAGATTTGTTTCTGCAGCAGTGTAGGAGAGCTGTTTGTTAAACTTGAAGAATACAACACCAGCTGGTGCTTTCCTGAATCAGGCCCATGCATGTGTGTTCTGCTCTTGGCATGTTTTTGAAGTAGCTATTTAGCACCCAGTCCCAAACTTGTGTCGGTCTAGTGGGTCTACCATCTCCTCTGTACGGTAGACAGCCAGAGGGATGAGGGTTTCTTCTCTTGTAAAGCTTTGTTGGCTACTGGTGTTTTTACAATGCACCGAATGGTGTATTCCTATCTTCTTATTTTAATTTGTTTTGTCTTCTGTGTGGCTGTTTGAGCAATACAATGGGTTGAAGAAATTGTTATGTCTTAAGCATGTCATAGGGGCAGTAGATGGTTGACATGAGTGGGCTAATGAGCCCACTAATGCCAGCAGTGAAAAGGGCTCTGACTGTACCTGAGCTCCACTGACCTCTAAAACACGTCAAGGGAATGTTTACAGTATTATGCCTTGTTTCCAGGTGTTACTGGGGTTTCCACAGTCACTTCAGCCGAGAGGCAGAGCATTTGTACCACACTTTGGAGTCTTCCTACCAGAAGGCCCTCCAGTCACATTTGAAGAATTCTGACAGCATCGTGTCCTTGCCACAGTCGGATCGCTCCTCCTCCAGCTCCCAGGAGAGTCTAAAGTAAGTCCTTCGATGTCACTACCTCTTGATTTTAAACAACTGCGGATGCCTTCATTGAACTGGGAGCCATCACATTGCTTACGTTGTCATTGTTTGGCCTCAATGCTTGGTTGCGCCAAAATCGTTTTGTAGCTAACGTTGTATTAAAATAAAAAGCCAGCAAAACCCATTACTGGCTTTAAAAAAATAATCGTTATCTTGACTCTGTAAATAATTTTCTAGGAAGCTTTTTGTGCTCAGCAGATACTGTTAATAATTTCTTCCAGGTGTGCTTAAAACAATACTTGGATTGAAATTCTGTGTTTAGCATTAATCCTAGAGATGTAAGTCTGACTCTTCATATAAGAGGAAAAAAAGTTACTAAACTAAATTTGGATTGTAACAGCAAAATCAATATGTAACTCTTCTGTTGAATGCATGTATTTTAGCTTCTCAGAGATAGTCATGCTCCACATGTCTCCAGTTTAAGTGTAAGACCTATATAAAAAAATCCGTAACTCACTGGTGTAACTTTTTAAATCTAAAAAAAGTGTTCTTAAAAATCTCTTCTTACTCAAATAATGTGCATACTAATTTTTTTCATAGTGCTTTTGTAAAGAATTTCATGGTGGTGCTGCATTTATTCTTAAACAATAAGCTTTCTTTGTCTATCCCTGTATATAAATAACTTCCTATTAAGTCAATTGTGTACTGAGGGAACAGATTACACTGTTACTGCTTCCTATGAAATACTAGTTTTGTTTTAATAAATATTTGTATTAACTTCTAGCCGTCCGTTGTCTGCCAAAAGAAGTCCTACTGGAAGTACTACATCTAGAGGTGAGAATGGGAGCTGAAAAATGTGTTCAGGTGTTGCCGAGTGATGAATTAGAATGAGAATTTCAGACACTGATGTTCAAAGAACAACTTTGATCACTGTTTACTGCTCTTTAAAATGGCAATTTAGTATGTAAAATTTTTTAAATAGTTTTGGGTTGTATACCACGTTCTGTGCATTAACTGCTGATACAATGATACTTTTCAAAGTTAGTAAATCTGTTATTGCTTCCACCTGAAGGGAAGTCTAAAAAGCTTTGAAAACTGTAGCCAAGGTATGTTGGAATAACCTAGTGCTGATGCTAAGGCATACAGCTACGTAGTCTGATGGTGCATTCAGCTTTACCATTTTCTGTCATTTATTCTCTGTGGTTTCAGCACTTACTGGAAGCATCATCTGCACACAAGTCCTACAGTGTTAAATTCCATCTCGTTGCTAATCTGTTTTTACTGTCAGATGGAATATTGAGGTGCAGTTTTCCTGTCCTAAGTAAATGCCTGCAATAATCTAAATAATAAATTTTTATACAGAATGTAATAGACAGAACTTTTTGGGTAGAAGATAAGCTGCCTTCTACGCCTAACCATGATCGGGTTCTGGCTCTACCGAGACCTTTGATTTAAGGTGATACTGTTGTGTAACCTACTTGATTGTGCACACAACTGCATGTTTGCTTGCAGCTGAATAGTCAAGCTTCATGCTTGAGAGGGTAAGCATCAACAAGTGATGGGAGCAGCAGCCCTCATGAGAAGATGAGGTGTTGGGAAGGAAGTTAGTAGAACCTGGAATGAAGGACCTGCAGGTCTGTTTTGGCCAGCAACTCACAAGCTGGTGATGGGTACTGTGGTTGAACTTTCCCATACAGGTTCTGTTAGAAATTTCTTTATTGCTGGCCTGGAGCCTTTTTGTTCTCAGCATTTAGGTTAGTGTCTGATAAAGTTCTTAGAGGTAGCATCAGGTCAGCATTGAAATATCTTTGCAGGCAGTGTGGGGAAGCCCACGTTGCTCTGATAAAGCATTCTTGGTTGAGGTATTTCAGTGCCAGCAGGGAGCATTAAAAATAGTACATTAAACTGCTTGTCAGGCTCTTTGAAGCACACAGCTCAAGAAATTAATCTTCTTTATTCTGGATCTCCCACTCCCATCTGCAGCATCTACAGTAAGTACAAAATCTGTGTCAACACCAGGATCTCTGCAGCGATCCCGCAGTGACGTCGATGTGAATGCAGCAGCTAGTGCCAAGTCAAAAGTGACGTCTTCTGGAGCATCCACCCCCTTCAGTTCTGCTGCAGCCTTGCCCCCAGGCTCATACGCATCACTAGGTAAATCTACATGTTCTTCTACTCTTGCAGTTAGCTTTCTTTACTAGCAGAAAGTGCCTTGTAGTTTTATTTGAATATTAAACTCTTAACTAGAAGAATATATCTCTGAGATAGTTACCAGCTCTCTAGGATCAGTATGTGATCTCTTGCCCTTTGGGATTAAGGAAAAAATTTGCAACAAAACTGACTTGAAGCAACTTCTTAGGTTTTGAATTGTATAATAGTCTGCGCCTCACTCTTCTTTCTGGGGAAAAGCAGATCTTGCTATGATTCTGGGACGTTGTTGAGGAAAATACTTACTGCTCAATTCCTTTTGACATGTCCCCCTTTCTTCCTCTTCTTCCTTCCCTCCTTTCCTTAGGTTTTCCCTTAATTGTTTTATCCTTTGAATAGTACATCTTAATTGAGTTTGATCGCTTTCTGTTTTACAAGAGAAAGATGTAGAAGCAAAGAGAAGAAGTTGGCCTTCCCATTTCACCACACAGGATATAAGTATCTGTTCCTTATGCTGATTCTTTTTGGATTATAGCTGAATGTCACATTATTGTCTCAGAGCATCATATATCGCTTTCAGGTGCCTCAGGGTTTCTTAGAACAAAGTTTGCATTTGATCTTTCCTGAGAAATGCCATTGATGGAGGCACGGAGGAGGAAATGCAAGGCAGTGATTGACACTATCTCCAGAGCTTCAACTCAATTGTGAGCAAAGCTGATCATCTGAGCTAGTTTCTCATTCTGCTGGTTTCACACTAGTCTAATTCTAGACTTTTCCCTCATTCTACCTTTACAAGAGGGAGAAAAATCAGAAATCAGTGATCTTGATTTAAGCTGTGTAGATTGTCTTCACTGAGACAGTTTAGAAGTTGCTTCTCTTTAGTGTAGGGCATTTGGTCTTTAGTCTGATAAAATACACTTGGTGAATTATATAGAAATAGTTTCTGTAGATTCCTTTTGTAGGCAGTTTTCTTGCGTATCTGAAATGTTTTACCGTGGCTTAAATGTGTTGGTTGTATTTGGTTCAGAAGTTGAATTCTTATTCTGATTTAATTGTTCATACTTGGTTCAAGATTTAGATTGCAGTGAAAACGTAATACAGAATATGAAGTTGATCGCATAATAGCGTGCTTTCGAGCTCATGGATGCAACTGTTTTTTCGTCGTGCTGCGTACGGGCTTCAGTGGCAAAAGTGCTTTCGAACAATCTTATGTCTTAAGGAAGAACAGAAGAGGGAGTGAAGTATCTACTAAAATTGGCTTTGTCCTTGAAGCTGGGAGATCAAATACCGCGTTATTCTTGCTTTTAAAACAGACTGTAGGAGAAAAGCAGCAAATGGACTCTAAGTGATGCAAACAAGGCTGCTCCTGAAGGAGCATTCTTCCTTTTGAGCTAGTAGGGACACTTGTCACCTGCACATTCTCATGGGAGAAATGGTGAGGCAAACAATGAAAATGGAATTTGGCAAAGGTTGGTTATTGCAGGAGGGAAAACCTGCAAGCGTGTTCCTCAGGTACATGAAGCTTTGATTTGCTGCTCAGTCAAAATTTTTTCATTTCTTTAATTGTGTTAAATTTTTTGCATATTTCTATAGCTAATATATAGTGCCCACTTCTGCTGATGTTACTAATTTTCCCTATTAACCCTTTCCTTATTTTTTTTTAATTTGCCTAAAGATGGTACTACCACTAAAACCGAGGGTAAGCAGTCTCTCTGTGTAACTGAGGTGTGTCCACAGTCGTACCACCCTACCTGGTCTCTGTTCTCAAAGTGTTATCTGGTTCTCATCCATGTTCACTGGTGACCTGCATGAAGTGTTGCATGGTTGTCCTGCTCATTTTGATGCTGTGGGGTATTTTTCACTTTCTCTTTGAGCTCCTCACTCCTAATGGGCACTAGTTTGCTTTTATGACTTCTGATTGCAAAGTTGTATGTGGATTTCTGTATTTAAAAGCACTGCTTTTGGTTGAAGGTGACCTGTGCACAGATGAAAAAAACAAACAAACAAACAAAAAACCCCCCCAAAACCAAAACCAAAAAAAACCCCAACCCAATGCAGGGCTTGCGTTTTCTTGGTCTGTGATGTGTAAAGGTTTGCTGTGTTTTTCCATTCAAAGCTCAGGTCACAACTGCCAAATGCTTTCGGGAAGAGACTGGGCAGCGAGAGAATTGAATGAGATGATCACATGGCAGAAAAATGAGGACAGTAAACAGTGATCTCTAGGGAAGGAATATTTAGTCAACCTCTTTTAAACCTGAGCGCTCTCTTTTTGTTCTTAACTGAGTGAGATGGCTTACACCTAAGACAGTTGGAGGAAAGGCTTTTTTTCAAGAATACTGAGCCTGCTAGTTTGGGAGGGCTCCCAGCCAGCCTGGTTCTCTGGCTCATCATCAAAACTTGTTCTTTATTTTTTATTTCTCAAGCAAAAAAGATCATTGGGAAATCACTTTTTCTGAGGTAGACAGGACTTGAAAACAAGAATGTCTTCTACACAGAATGGAGACACCACACTCCCACCAACAAACCCCTTTTTCTCCTGATGCCAGTCTCTTTTCAAGGGATCTATTACTGTCTTGTGGGACTGTGCTCGTATCCTTGATGGCTGCTTGTATTTCGATGTGGTCGTCTGAGAAGTGCCACTGTGCTGTTGTGATGTGTGTGGGGTTTTTTCTTACTATTATCGATGCATTGATTTATTATTTAGAGGGAAAGATCTCTACTGTTGTCAGAACTGGTACTTATTCTGTGTTGAGAGATGAACTGGCTCTCCATCATGGGCAAGTGTTTGTGCTTTGTGATCTGTCAGTGGTAAGGAACACGAAGTTGACCTAAACACCTGTATTTCTAAATCAGTAGTGAATTAGATGAAACGTCCAAATTGTTCTAATACTGAGCTTTTTTTATTCATTGTTGACCCTTCTTTTGTTTCTCCATGTCTTCTCAGATCTCCAACCTTTCTATTTTTGGCCTAACTTTGAAATGTTGGATATTTTTAAGGTTAATTTATGAAATACCCTAGGCAGCTATCAGTCCTCCCCTAGGCGGTATAATATTTGTGGAAGCTTGTTACAACAGCTGTGCTGTGGAATACCTTTATTTTTTGTTTATTAAATGCTTTATTGTCATAATGCAAAAGGGTGGGGTTTTTAGTTTGATTAGGTTTTTTTTTCCAGTTCAGCTACCTTGGAAGCAGACTGGATTTAGTCAAAATCTGTAATAGAAACCGTGCAAATTGCTTGGGGGGAAAGATTGTGAGATAAACTTTCAGAAATGGAGTTTGCCATCCCCTTAGTGTTAAATACCAGATCTCGTATTTTATTTTTGCTGCAGGATTCTCTTCTTGGGAGAGTGAGGATCAGGGAGAATTATAAGAACACAGCACACTACAGCTAGAGTATTTGAAGGATGACTTTAACCACTGTTTGAAACTCTTCATCTTTGTTTTCCTTTGAGACTGTTGAGGGAAAAGCAGCCTTTAGTCAGGATTTGGTGTGTCCTACAGATGAGGGCTGAGAAAGGTCTTCTGCCAGCTCTTTGATCTTGCAGAGTTTGTCAGGAACTACAGGGAAGGCAAAATTTTATATTCTTGACATCAATGTAAAAATTAAGGGGGCAGGGGCAGGCAAAGAGAAATCATCCCCTTGCTCTGGTGGAAATACCTGTGTGCGCACTCTTGGAACATAAAGCAGAAATTCCATCCACACTCGTGCCCCTGGTTGGGTTTTTTTGGGTTTTTTGGTTGGGTTTTTTTGGGGTGTGTTTGGTTTAAGTTTTGGGTTTGGTGGGTTTTTTTTTTTTTTTGCAGGTCACCAGTAGAGTAATTTAAGAGCAAATCCCTTTGGGTTTCTTTTTGTGTGGTTCAGCTTGATGTTAAATCTGCAGTCTGGTTCCCATCATGGCTTTCTGTAGCTACAGTGTAAAAATTCTGCACCTTCCCCTCAGACGGGAGCCAGCATTGTGGGAACTTGGCAGTTCCTATCTGCTTTGCCCTCAGTTCTCCTCAATGTTTGGTTTTTGAGCCAGATGACTCAAAAGAGGAGCAAGATAGAGTGGGTTGTGCCAGTGGCAAGAATATAAGTTGAGAGCTGAGTATCAGTCCTTTGGTTTTAAGTAGTATGATCCCAATTGACAAACACTGTTGAAAGGCACTTCTGTATGGAGAGGTAGCGTAAGTCTCTATACCGCTTAAATCTGTGCAGGTCTTCTGCTGTCTCTGTGCCGTGAGGCTGTGTCTTCATGCAGTGCACAGTTATGTCTTGGTTGCCCAGACCCTTCATGTGTGGATATTTCTTGAACTTCATTGAAAGCAGGCAGAAAGCTTGTAAGGTCTAAACCTTTACAGTCTTGATTGGGACATCACAGCTAGTGCTGTGCAGGTAGCAGCTGTGCCATAGTTGTTATACATAATTAAAAGGAAACCTTAGAAAAGTTTCTGCTTGTTCTGTCATGAAATGACTTTTCAAGGAATATTTTAAAAAGGGGCATAATGCTGACTTTCAGTACAGAATAGTCGTTCAGAGCATTTCTGTTATCTGGCTGCCTTTTTTTTCAAAGTGAGCATGAAGACTAGCCCTTCAGACAAGCCTTTCGCAAAAGGGGGAAGCATAAATGCTGGTCTGTGCTGAAACTGGCAAGTTTAAAACAAAATCAGCAGTTTCCAGTCAGTGGCACAATTTTTACTATTTTTTTATTATTCACCAGAAAGGAAATAAAATCTGGTTTATTACAGTATTCAGCTAACTTAGTTTCAGTTGGACATCTTGAGCATCTTACCAAAGGCTTTGGGAGTAACACAAGTTTTAAGAAATCACCATTCCTGTTTTCTTCTCTGCCTTAAAGCTCTCCCTTGTCCTCAAAGGCAAGGCTTGATTCAAAGGTGTGACTGAATGTGGTATCCTGAATTGGAAATGCTCAGGTAGTAGGTTTCTTTGTTCTGTTGGTCCTTCCCTTTGCCAGTGCTTGATTTGCCTTGTGGGCGTAGGGCAAAGTGGTGCCACTACTCTTTCCTCAACCCTCTGCTTTGGAGGGCGTTCTCGTGCGGAACCCAGAGGCAATGTATGCTGATGGTTTCCAGTAAGGGTCGAGTGTTTCTCAGGAGAAATTATGGTGCAGAGTCAGGCCTTACACTAGTATGATGTTGGACATGTACTAAATACGCATAGAAACTATTCCAATGGCTGTTGTAAAAAAGTTGTTTACAGATTTATATGTAAAGCATGTTTTTAATTGGTGTGTGCATGTCTCACAGATGTACACATGTCATTTAGCAGTGACTCAGCTGCAGGGTCCTAGAGGCTCTTTCAGGAATGTTTTTCTCCAAGTGGGGGAAAAACCCAGGGCTGATTACCCTAAATGCATTAACCTGATCCATGGAGAAACAATTACCATCCTGGTGCTTCCATACGTGACTTGTGTGGGTGTAGGTATCATTATTCACAGAATGGAATGGATTAAACTGAGTCGTGGAGCTGTTATATACCATTTCTAGACCATTTGAAAACAGTTTTCTTCAGTGTAATAAAAAGGCTGAGTCTCACAGAGGCCATGTCTAGAGCACTGGGGATGGAGATGCTGCGCCCAGAGGAGCTTGGAGTAACACTGCCAGATGAAGCCTCTTGTAGTGCAAAAAACATTATCGTAGAATCTTCCTTCACTTTTCCCTTTTTAAAAAACAAACCCAAACAACCTTCCTAGGTTTAGACATATGTTAGACATTTCAGGGTTGATTCCGATCCATTGATTGTTGTAAAAATGACAGTAACTTTAAAAAATAAAACCAAAACCTCCTAAAAAATCCCGCAAATGGTTTCTTAACAAAAAGCATTTATATGGAGTCTTTCAAAACACTTTCTGTACCAACAGCAATGTGTCACATGTCAAATTTAGATCAAGGACTTTTTTATGGAAATACTTTTATGGTTTTTGGAAACTAGTTGGGGCAGTCTTTATCTGTTCCTTTGCTGTGCTGCTGTTGTCAGGATGCAGTAATTCTTTTAAAAGCAGCAGAAGAATAATGGTTATGAAATATGAATTGCTACATCTGCAGTTTGAGCTAGATACGGAAACAAATCCACTTGAAAGTGAAGAAGTTTTGGGAGGGGAGGTGTTAGCTTGAGTTTAACAAAAAAAAAAATCTGAGTAACTTATTGATATGTTATAGCCAGTCCTGCTTGAAATTGGTTTTTCTATCTGGGGTTGAATGATAGAGATAAAGCCACACAAATAGTCCTATGTGCAAATAACTCTTGGATGTGAATGCAGACTCTTGTTTGCAGATTAAATTCGTAAGGGAATGTAGTAGAGACGTGTATTTTATAGATGAACTTCTATATATACATGCTGTGCTTGGTATAATATATTAAAAATATTCAAGCCAGACAAATTGATTCATCTTACACTACTATAAAGCAAGTAGGTTTTGGACATCGTAGGACTAATTTAAAAGTTGTGCATGTATGTGAAGACAAGTTAACATATGAAACATCTCAGATCTCTCTCCAGGTTTTCGATCTCATGCAGATTTGCCTAAAGCAATTTGAGTTACAGTTGGTTTTTTTTTTTTTTTACAGCTAAAAACTGCTTGGGTAGGAAAATCTTGGAAGCTTAACCTTTTGCTTGAAAAGTAGCTTTGAGTCACTTATTTTGAAGCAATTCACGCTTCAAGGAATACATATAACTGATATCAGATGGCACTTTTTCTTTGTAACTGTGTGAAGACTTTGACCTTTAATTTAAGAGGCATTTTTTTACCCCTCATGTTTTACTTTCCTATGGACTTTAAAGAATAAAGTACTCCTGGGGTGAGCTGTTACTGTACTATTGAAGTATTCGTACTGGTACGTCATTTTTGCGTCATGAATTTCTAGTTTCTGCTATTCTTGTTGCCATTTGCACAATGCAAGTCCAGTGCAGTGTTGGTTCAAATGCTTCTCAGTGTTTTTAGAAGGATGAGAAAACCAGTGTCAGTGTTGAGTCTCTGTTCCTCCTGTGCAAGAGCAACTCTTTGTCTCACTTTATTCTCTCTGACACACATTAGGCCAAAATTAGTGTACAAGTCTACCAGGCCAAAAATATGCAGAATTTTGTTCCTGGGCATTGATTCAGAAACTGCCGAGGTTGGTAGGAGTCTGTCCACTGGCTGTCGGGGGTTTCAAAATAGGACTGAGCTCTCTGTTTTTAATCCTGCTGATAATCACATGTTACTGAGTTTGACCCTTTGGTTCAATTTTCTTTCTTAAAGCAAACACACTCCCACACCCCACACCCCCCCATTAGTATCAGAAGATAATCTTGGTTTCTCTTTATATATAATTTTAGGCTTTGTATTTCTCAAGGTGGGAGAGTCACTTCTTATATATTATCCCATTTTTCTCGTCCTTCTTAGGCGCCTGCCTATAAAGAAAAAAAAAATTGTAGTTGCTGAAAGAGCAGAAAATTTTGAGGGTCTTGAGTAGCCTGTGCATAAGAGGAGGAGACGTCTGTCCCTTCTCACCTGTTCTTGGCCTATACACATCAGTAAATGTGTTTTTCAGTACTGTCTGTTACTGCGTGTGATGTCGAATTCCAGCTTGATTTATCCCTCAGGACTTGCTGCAACGCCAGCGCCTTCTGTTGGTGTTCTGCAAGGATGTAAGTTAATTCCATTACTGGTTCCTAAGACTGGTCAGGTTTAACTTCTTCTCTTACTGTTTTGTACTCCTGCTGCCACCAGCAATGCCCTCCTGATGTGAGAAATGAAAGGAAGCCTTGAGGCTTCTGACAAAAGTGTTGAGGTCCTTCTGCCTCCTTCCCCTTGCATGCCTGCTTTGAAGCGTGCGGTGGGGTTTGGGGTACATACCTTGTGGCAAGTCACACAGCAGCTCTGCTCATCTGTGTGCAGCTGTGCGTGTACCAGACTTTTGAGGGGTGGGAATGGGGCAGACAATGTCCTAGAGCAAAGATCTACAGCCTTGCTGGTGGTAAGAAGATTTTTAGCAGCCAGTTTCATGACTATTGGACCCATGTGGACATCTTGGAGCTTGTTTAGTTGAGCCAGTGGTTCAAAAGTGTTTTGTTTATATTTTCCCAGTTTTATGCTAATGATTTCTTCTATTCTCATCTACAAACAATTATTTAAATGTAGATACCTGTGTCTTGCCTACTGAGCTATTTTAAAACTAGATGCTGGTGGAGAAGTTTGAAGTACAGCTAAGCTTTTTTCCCCTGCAAACAAGCGTAGGCTTTCTTCTCAAAGTTAAACATTGCCCTAGTCACTTTGTGTCTATCAGAAACTTGCAGACCGTGTTACGGATATTTTGAGAGCTCAGAGGAGAACAGAGCTCTCAATCCTTTCAGCCTGGGCTGCTTGCCATTGTCTTGTCCTGCATGTGTACTTTATGTGAAGTGATTTTTTTGGGTGGGAAATGTATATCTCCCTGTTCATATTTCTCTGTGTGCTTATGGTGGAGACAAATGGCAGGAGATGAATATCTATAACCGGTGCGTGCAGTTGTCTAGGCTTTTCTCTTACCTGTTGTGGTTTTTTTCATTTATTATTGTGCCTGAAACTTGAAGTCATCCTCTGAATGCAGGACAGCACTGGCATGAGTCCTGAGAAACAGCTTCAGATTTGGCTGAGAACTGAGTTGTTGAAAAGTACTGATGGAGGCTTTCTTTGTGTTGCTCTTAATTATCATTTCTTTCCCATTAACTAGAGACAGATAATTGAAGCTTAGCACTGGAAAGAACATTCTGTAGGAAACAGCCCTGCCCCTGGAAGGGGATGAACTGATGACCCTGTAAGCTTTTCTAGCTCAAATTTCTGTGTTTTTTTCATGAGGAAAGGACAGAAAAAGGACCAAGAACACTTTGAGACTTTATATCCATTCTCCTCTTAAATAAAGAGCAGACGCACGGAATCATTTTTCCGCAATGTTGATTGTGTTAAATGAGACTCTCCATTACAAGTAAAGTTACACTGATCTTGGAATAAGTATCGGGGATCTGTAAACAGCAGGGAAAAATTCAGTGAGCCTGCAATAAAAGCATAGTCAGGCTGTGCTGACAGTCTCTCGCCGGAGTGCATGCCAGCCTGTGTGTGTAGAGCAGGATATAAAGCACCAAACTGCTAATTGGAAATCCCAGTGATGGAATTTGTGGGGGCATCTGTCACTCCTGTCTCTGAAAGGGTGATCGCCTTGTCAGAAAGTAATAATTTAATATAGGAAGCAGCATTTAGGAGACTGAAATTTTTGTTGGTCCTTTGTAAAGAAGCTACTATAGAACAGAAGCAAAGGCTATAGAGGTGATATTTTTTAATTAAACTGGCTGATAGCATTACAGAAAGCAAAGATTTTTTCAGACTTAAGGACCATGACTGTTTCTGCTCCCTCCCCTGCATCTCAGCCAGTCTAATAAAAGATGTTGCCTCTCCCTGTAAAATTCTTTTGTACCCTGGTTATTTGTGTGTATAGCATAGAACAGCATGTTAGACACTGCTGCTGCCTTTGGAAGAAACCTATTAACAGACTTAATTGTCTTTGCCTTCCTCCAGGTCGGATTCGTACAAGAAGACAGAGCTCTGGCAGTGCCACAAGCGTCACCTCAACGCCTGCTGATACCCGAGGCCGCAGCCGGGCTAAAGTAGTTTCCCAGTCCCAGCGTAAGAAGTATTTTATTTCTGGGGGAGCAGAACAAATAGTTATTAATATGTTTTTCATGAATTGTAGTAGCATCAGTGAGAACTGGCCTCACTTCCACTAATAACGTTTGAACATACAACAAAACGAATCCCCGCTCAGCCACTGCGTGCTCTTGGCTGACAAACAGGGCCCCGAATTTGAGTGCTTAGTTGCTGCCTTGTTTTTTACCAGTTGTGCAGCAGAATTTCATGTTGCTGTGATGCATAGGACTAAATAACTTGCACTGGGTCCCACTGAGACACCCTCTGTGTCTGTAGCTGCTGTCCTGGGTTCTTGCCCTGCCAAGCTTCTCCTGCTTATGTGACTGTATTTCTGTATGTGTAACGTGTGAGCTGTCTAAAGTTCATGGGATTTGACATCAGTTTAAAATAGGACATCACCTATTTTGTGTAGATGTGGTGGAGATGGTTCTGCTCTGATTCACATGACACATCTGTGCTTTCTGGCTTCTTGGCAAGGCCTGGTTTTCCCCTAGGGAGCCGTACAAATGGTGCTGCTGCATATTTGTCATGTGTATCTAAGGAGAATTTTGTCACTCAAACTTTAAAAGTAATTGGGGGGAGGGAGAAAGCTACTCATGTTTTGAGGACCCTCAAGCTTGTGGGTAGCAGGAGATGGGGTTTGTGGAAAGACCTGTTTGTTCTGAGGACTTGTCTTGCTTTGTACCCCTATTTAAAAGCCCTTCTCTGTTCATTCTCTCGTTGCTTTGCTCTGTCATGCTGGAGGGATGGAGAAGCAGTTTATAACATTGTGTTAGGCTGGGAGAGCTGAAGAGAGAAGTAATATTCAGGATGGGGCCAAATGGAAATCTTTACATTGAGCTCTTGGACAAATTTGGGCTTTGGTATGCTCATCTAAATTGATTTCCTCAGTTTTGAACCTAAAACTGATTGAAAGCCAGAAATGACCTTTTTTCCTAAACTTAGTTTGGTGAAAAATGCTCAGACTAGATGAGACAAATCTCAGAAGAATTTAAAGAATATTGAGTATTCAAAGGTTTCAAAGACTTTGGGCTTAATTTTTTTCATAGAATGTCTTATGAAGCTTTAGGATGATCATATCTGGACCTGCTGCCTTGGTCTAGTTTGCTGAATCCTGTTTCCAGCCTAGCCCAACCAGATGTGATCTTTATCCTTTAAGCCAAGCATTGCATGAAATAACTTAAGAATTCAAATACAGTATGGTCACAGGACCAAATTCTCCATGCCCACGCAGTGGATAACCCTGTTACAAATTTGCAGACTGGGCTGGGGTATAATTTAGAGCAGAACTTGGGTCTTTGTGTGTTGGTTGACATTTAGCTAAGAAGCTGATCAACCTTGGGAAATTATTACTCTCATCTGCATCTTAACTCACTGCATTCTGCAGAGGCTTTAGGAGTGACATGTTTGTAAATAAATCTGTCTGCATTGTGTATAGCATAAACCGCATGCTGAACGCTGTATTGTCTTGCTGTCTTTTAATCCACTTTTTGCCTGTCCTTTGGTCTGCCCTCATAATCAAGGATCCAGATCAGCTAATCCTGCTGGTGGTAAGAAACTTTTTCTCTTTCTTGCTTTCTCACATTATTTCCTTCACATTTAGCTGCTAAGCTTTTAGCTTCCCTCACTCTCTCCTAACTATGAGACTTAAAAAGCATTTTCTTAAATTCATAAATTCAAATGTGTATGGCAAGTGATTTTGATTTCTTACAGTAATCAAGAATGGTAAACGTACATTCTGCATATTGAAACTGGCACGTTGCTTCAGCTTAAACCCCTGGTGCTAAATAATTCTTCCAGAGCAACCCTGCTGACATCAGTGAGATTGCAGCAGCGTAACTGAGAGGAGTCTTGGCTTTTAGGGTCTGGATGCTGTGTGTGAGACTGGCATCTGGCACAAGTATTCGTGCTTTGGAGGGGAGCGGAGCCAGCACCACATATAGTATTGGAGTATATGATTTGATTGATTCAGAATGGCTTTGGCCAAGAAATTGAGGGGGCAAGTAAGCTAAAATAATACATGTTATGGTATTGTCCGTAAGATTAATAGAATTGCATGTCTTCTTAAATTAAGACAGAAGAACCATCTGTAACTCTTGCTAGTTGTAGTAATATCTAATAGATAGATACTAATAGAACTGAAATTTTTGTGAGATGTGCAGATACTTTTCAGAAAGAAACCAACATGAATATTGGTTTGGAATGTGAGCTTGACAGAGTACGTTCTTGCAAACTTTTCAAATATACTTTTTCTGGGTGTTTTGGCAAACTAACTAAATGTCAGGAATGGTAATAGCAGCAGCAAATTTTCTGTGGCTTTTATGTACCTGAAGAAGCAAAAAAGAGTCTTGAATCTGTTACTTTCACAGTTCTTTATGATTACCTTTAAGTAGCATTATGTAATTTTCAAACAGCTTGCCAAATGAAGGTTCACAGCAAAAAAAAATAAATTATTATTCAGCTCATTGAGTTAGACAGCAAGACTATTTCAGATAGAAATATCTACTGCAGCTGGAATGTAAATATGCAAATAAATCTTGGTTAGTAGACTGTCTTGCAGACAACATGGCTTAGAAGAAATGTAAACTTTCCATGGACTAGTCAAACAGACAAGGAAAAAGAAAACAGGCCAACTACTAAACTTGCTAAAAATTTTCTCCAGCTGAAAAATAACTAAATAACTTGGGTTTAACCAATCAGACCTAAGTAAGCCAGCATCTCTACAAATGTGACAGGCTCACTTGGTTTACCCTTTATCATGCTGATCTACTGCTGTTGAGATGTTTTGTGGTGGGGTTTTTTTTTGGTGGTTTTTTTTTTTTTTAATTTTCCTTCACTGAATTATTGCAGGAAAGTAATGCCACCACTGCAGTGTAGCATGAAGGTGCCTGAGCTACTTTGCAGCAGGTTACCCTTGCCAGAAGCCGGCACGCTGCAGTGCAGCACTCTCCCCAGGGTAAATTGTGCTGCTTCGTGAGGAGGTGAGGCAGCCTGTGAATTCTATGCTGCTGCAGCAAGGCTGCTCCTGGCACCTCTGCAAGCTCACATAAAGCCACCTGGGGTATTCATACACTGCAGGGTCTGCTTTGGTCTTTATCCCAACTGGGCAGCATGGTTCATATAGGCAGGGTTGCTGATGGCAGTTTTTATAGTCCATGGGCTTTCCTCAGTCTTCCTTGAAAGCCCATGGGGAACATTCCCATTTGTTTTCTGAGTGACTTGGGTCAAATTCTTAGGTAGAGCTGATTGTGTTCCACTTCTGCTGTCAGAGTATTTAAAATCTTGGGGTTTTTTAATTGCGTTGTTTTGTCTTTATTTTTTGGTTCTCTTCTAGCTGGTAGCCGGTCTAGTTCTCCTGGTAAGCTGTTAGGCAGCGCCTATGGTGGCCTGAGCAGTGGAACGTCCAGAGTCCAGCCAGTGCCATCATCTTCAGAGAAACGCAGCAAGATCCCTCGGAGCCAGGGATGCAGTCGAGAGACGAGTCCCAGCAGAATAGGCCTAGGTAAGAATAATCACTGCAGTGACATGCTGACTGACATGCTCGAAGGAGGGACTTTGCTGTTGACTGGGGAACTGTTCATGTGTTACTGTTGTTCACCTGAGTTTTTCACCTAGCAAGTTGATGTGATCGTGTTTTGTAGGAGAGTAATTTTAATTTCCCAGGTTGAGCTATAATTTCAAAGTAGACCTAAAGATGTCATGAGATGTCTTCTGTTTGAAATTCAACAGGAGTGATGTTATTAGATCAGGCAGCAAAAACAGTTGTCACAGCAAAAATACCTCATTTGGCATCAACGGCTTAGTCCTAAAATGAGTTGAGCAATCTTTACAGTCAGTTGGAATCAAGGGAAAAAAGTACCTTCTTCGATTATTTTAGAAATTTTGTGGCTAAATGGTTTGCTTTGCTCATCCTTAATATCTTGGAGCCACATTCTTAGACGGTGTTTTAGACTTATGCTTTAATTGTTCTGCTTCCAATAGTCTTGTCTCAGTGACTGTTATGTAAATATTCTATAATAGTTTTTATTTTCAAATTTATCAGCAGACTCATTTTTTTAAAGTCAGGTGAGTAAGCATCATTATATATAAACTTTTGTGTATCTGCATTGAGGTGAAAAGGTGTTCAGTGTGCTGCCTGAACAAGTAAATATTGTTTCAAATTTTTAGATGGAAATGTTTTCATAAGCTCGAAGCTTATGTGAAGGAAGAACACTTTAAATAATGTTACTGTTAAATTATTTTATATCTCCAAAGAATTTACTAGTAGGTCGAAATTGATTGAAATTAGAGCCCTACTGTTGTCAATTAAATTTATTGCCTTAGCAATTGTATTTAACATTTAAGCAACCTTTCTATTTAGAGTATGTTGTTAACAGCGAAGTATCTTATTCATTCTTCAACTATATTGAAATGAATTTAAAGCACCTGAGTGCATATGCTGTTATGATTCATAAAAAATATTGCATGTTCCTTGGGATTATTTTTCCAAATTCAATGTTCTTCTCATGTCTGATCTATTTTATGGCCTCTGTATGCTTTTCTGTTCGCTGCTTTTAAAATGTAAAGTGCCTCCCAAATATTAGAGGTAATTGTTCTGCTGTCACTCTGCAGAAGAGTATTGGTTTTTAGGAGGAAACAAAGAATGATGGATAGTACCATTACACATGCTTAAGCTGATCATCACATTATGTGGTCTGATTTGAAACAGTCTTGAGTATCTGAAGGGAAATTGCCTTGTGTAAAATACTCACTCTTGGGTTGCCTGCTTTCAGGTATATTAAGGGAGCCTTGAATTATTCTGAAAGTGTAATTTCTATCTCATTGCTCTGATGTGCTCCCCGTGAACACAGTCAGTTCTTTGGGAGTGGGAGAGAGCTCTGGCAGGTCTATCGGATGTGTGGCTTCCAACCGGGGTTGATGGCCACAGCCTGTTCTTTTGGGCTGTTATGGGAACAGGAGAGTCTGACACTTGTGTTGCTTTTACTACTCAGTTGCAGAAATTCTCTATTGGATCTTGAAAATGGTAATATTGGCTTGGATGGAGATAGCTTTTGAGCTGTCATCTTTATACCGTTATTCCATTGTATTTATAACTGCATAACATAGTAGCTAACAGTATTTTATGCTTTCTTGTGTTGCTTCAGTCCCTATCGTTCCTTGACTTTTTTTTCATTTGTTCATTTCATTACATGGACTCCCACTCACCTTGGTCCTAAATATGTTGATAGACTTCTTCAGAGTCTGATTCAAGAAGGTGCTTGAGCACACATATGATATCAAATGTACATGCAATACTTGAGGCTTTGTGAGATTATTTACGTATTTGATACAAATGTGCTTATCCCATGGCTGAAACATCTTTTAAGTCTGTGGTCACATTGCAGTGCAGGAGGTGTTGAACTATCATGCAGATCAGGCTGTTAGAAATGGGTAATTCCTGGATCCTGTTCATAACTCATCCATTGACTTGTGTAGTTTTTGCAGGGGTGACTGGGAGTTGCAGCCGGACCAATGCTGTGTGCAGAAGATTAAGCACACCGGGTGTGGGTCCTTGGCATGTGGTGGGGCTTTATACTCCGGGAACCATCCACTGGAGTTTTTCTAGGCCCTTCTGGGCCAGTAGCAAGCTAATAGAGCCTGTGCACGTGGAAGCCCATTAGCATCAGTGCCTTGCTGCTAGCTTAGGTTTCCATGATAACCACAGGTATCCATGAAGTATGTTCCTTCTGTAGGCTGGAAACCTTGAAGTGGTAGTTGTTTTCCAGGAGACAGGGCAACAAGGCACACTTGGCATGCTGAGGTCCTGCATGGTCACCTGTATGTCCCTGCTTTGTGGCACTTCTCAGTTTTAAGCTTGCCTTTGCTGTCTGCGCAGTGGAGATTTGCTAGAAGTGATACACTGTTGGGGAAGGAATAGTATAGTCCACTTAATCTTGAGTTTTTCTTTGGGCCTGTTGAAGGAGATCTCCTCAAAAATGTGATGTCTGTTTCCCGTGGACTGAAAGTTTTATCCGCTTGAATCCTCTTGGATGCTCAGCAGATCGTGTGGCACAGTTGGATCTGAAAGGATTGTCCTTCTCCAAAAAGTGGAGCAGGCACAGCTGGCTATCAATTTGATGCAACAGCACTCCTTCTGTTAGGGTTATGCCATGTGTCTTTATTGAAAAGCTGAAGGCAGTTCTTGACATGCCTCTACTGGGTGTACCCCACTGCAGAGCTTTCATTTGGCTGTTTTGGCAGCATTTACATGCTCCTTAAAATGCTTGTATTGGTGTAATGGAAGTGTTTGCTGATTTTTAGTCTCCACTTAAGAATCATTAAAAATCACACCCTAATGAAATACAGGTTTCTTCCAAGTGGTGGTAGGTTGGTAAACAGGGGCACTATTGAATTCTGCTGGTAGTAGTTGCATCTGTTGGGTCCACTGGTGTAACAGCATGATAATGTGTTTTAATAATGCTGTGAACTGTATCCCGCTGCTCTGACCTCCCAGATGAAATTGCTAAAACTTAGATGTACAGGGCACATCTAGAAAGTTGGGATTTTATTGAAAACAACCCACCCTTGTCATGTCCTAGGCTCTCAGTCCAGACCTGGCTGTGGGCCCACTGTCTGCTTTCATCCTGCCTACTCCTTTTAATCAATTTTGCTTCTTGTTTACTTAATTTCTGTCCAACTTTTGGGGGTTGGGAATTCTCTGAAATTGAGACTTGTGTCTGTCGTCTTTGCTGCCTGCACTGCAAAGACAGGCTGTGACAGTATGAGACTTGTCTAAATGACAGCACTGCTGGCCCTACAGCTGGCAGTGCCCAAAGAAAATACTCTGAGCGGCTGATATCCAATCTTCCCTACAACACAGAGCAGCAAAAATGTGAGGCAGGTGCCTGGGAGTCCACAACAGACTCATCATTCAGTTCTTTTCAATCTATTCATTTTTTTTCCTTGCTTTTATATTTGTATCCAGTAATGTGCAAATCTTTTGTTTGATCATTGCTCATGAAGTACCCAGTGTTTGGTTTTGGGTGCTCTGTTTGTGCAGTCAGTATTGTGCTTCATCTATGGCGTTGTCCTGCTAGTTTGTTCCTATGCAGTTAAAAGTGCATTTTCTTCATGCTGCTGCTGTTAGCTGTTATGGAAGAAGAATATAGCGTATGCCTCATTTATTTATTTTTTTTTTAATCATTCACATCTCTCCCTCTCTAAAGAGCTTTTGCAGGTTTTAGTAGGTTTGAATTGATTGACAGATCTTCTCTGTTTAAGAGAAATGACTGCTTGTGCAAACCTGATGTGAAGGCTGCCATTATTTACATATAAGCATGAGACCCAAGAATGAGAAGTTTACTTCGAGAGAGTCCACAATTTCAACAAGTACTTGTGTGGAAGACTTTAGAGTGTTACTTTCACCTGTACTTTGTCTGTCAGCTTTTTTCCTTGTACAGCTGCGGTAGGATTATTGTACTCATGGACCCTAATTTCATGAAATTTAGTTTGCTTATTTATTATAAGACCATCTAACTCACTCAGAAGTTTTAGACATTATGGTGATCTAATCAACTTGGTCAATAGCTCATCTTGTATTGTCTGACATCGAAGGTCATCCATCAGAACCATTAATGCATCTGAGAGATATGAGCTGGGTTTTGCAAAACTGGGAGGGATTTGACAAATAAAGAATCTGGCAGTAGTCTATATTTGAATTTTAAAGCCTAAATATGAAGGTTTCTATTTTGTTCTGTACTGTTTTGCTTGAAAGGATACTAATATACCCAGTGTATATGTGCCCACAGAAGCACTGTAGGGGAACATCATTAGCTTGAGTCTAGGCATTTGAGTTCTATATACAAACCAATAGAGATTTACAGGAATATATGTTTTCTGAAGCATGCAAATGGCACTATTTTTATAAATAGGAGGATACCGTTAAAGTATTAGTATAAAGCAGGTTCACATTATACATATGTGCCTCTGCTATACTGTCATCAAAGCTGGTAGAGTAGATTTTACTCTGTGCATAAGAAAATTCCTTAAAGGCTTTTCCTGAACATTTAAAATCTGCTACTGCCTTTTCAAAACAACAAAGGAAATGGCTCTTTAGTCATAAAATCCTTCAGAGGTAAACTCATGACAATTAAGTGCTATTCTTTTACCTAAGAAAACATTGTATTGTCTGCTGGGCATAAAGCTTATTAAATAACTTTCTGCAAACGTCTTTCATATCAAAATGACTCAGAATTTGCAGAGGAATGATCCAGTATTTAATACTAAAAATGCTCATTTTATAAAATCATAAAATTCAAATTCTTGATGTTAAGCAGCCTTCTAAGGGCCTAGCTCTGTTTTTCCTACTTGGAGAGAACTCCAGCTGAATTCAGTGGGGTTGCTTTTTACTATGAAAGCAGCTTAATCTTCTGTCTTCTACTTTGCATTTGGCCAAATGAAGAGTGTGCATATGATGAGTTCCTGTGATACAGCTAATAGGCAGGAACCTTATTAGACTGTGGAAAATTGAACACTTGATAGCTGCCAGACCAAAGATGAGAGTTTTGCTGATGTAGAGTTTTGTCAAAGTAAAGAATATAGTTTAAAGCTTGCCTTAAGTGTGCATATAAGACCATAAATATATGGTTTTAGAAATGTTTGAGGAGCAGAAGTTAATTTCTATTAAAGATCTGAAGCTGCTGCTGTCTTAAAATTTTTAACCCATCTTTCAGGTATTCAGGTTCTAGATGCTTTTTCCCAGTATCTTTCGTTGGAGAAAAATATCTCTTCAAGTCTGTACAATACATATCTTTTCCTTAGGATATTTGTCCGTGGTAAAACTATCCTTGTGAAAGGCAAATCTATGTAAAAAATAGCATATCACTATTGTGACCACTTTTAAAAATTTTGACCTGCTGTTTTGTTCCAGAAGGGCATTTATCTTATAATCAAGGAAAAAATATTCCAGAAGGGTTTCTTTCAGCCTCATCTGTTTTGCATGTTTTGTAACAGTAGAGCTCCCCTAAATGATTGAAGATTCCTGCTCTACTTGAATAACAAAACTTGGATTGCTTAAGAAAAAAGCAGACTGTCAACCAGACATGTAGTGCTGCTGAAATTTCACATCACAGAGGCAGCTCAGCATGTAACGTAGTTGGTTTGTAAAGAGCCTGAGCAGGCTGCTGCAAATTATAATTACTGATGTAATAATTACAGTAACTAACAGAAATGTGACTTGACTTTGAGCTTTCTGTCCTCATTAAACTTGTTCACCTTCTCTGAAACTCTCCATGCTGCATGCTAGCACGGAGCAGTCGTATCCCCCGACCCAGCATGAGTCAGGGGTGCAGCCGTGATACCAGCCGTGAGAGCAGTCGAGATACAAGCCCTGCTCGGGGCTTTCCTCCACTTGGTGAGTACATGTAGGCATTGGAGCTTTAAGGGTCAATATTTTTTTCCCCTTTTCCCTTGTTCTGAGTTGCCCTTTCAAGACACTGCCAGGTGGAATGAGCTCTGTTTCCTGTCCTCTGTTGGATTCCTGACACACTCCCTGTTTCCAACCCTGTTTCCCTTCTGTTTTCTTCTGCATGCTTCAATTCTGGTTCTCAGCATTTCACTGTTAGCCAAAAAATAGTTTAGTTTGAACTTTGGAAATTTTTAGTTTCAGTAAATCAGCTTGTATGGGGCTGCTGTGCTTCACTTCATAGCACTGATGGAAATCTGCAGGAGAGCAAGCCTTGATTTTTCTAGGTCACAGTGGAGTAGTCAGTAGCATCGTAGCCTGTTGTTGAGTGACTAATTATTCATGATCTGGTTTTCTTACAGCTAGGTACAGTAACAGTGTATAATTTCTGTACTAAGTCCTCCAACAGAGATAGGAGTGCTTTTTTGTAGAGGTTTTACACGACATTGTCAATCATCAATTAACAAGTTGCACATGCCATTTTGTAGGAACCTTTTTCAAGAAGCCTAAAATCATAGAAAGGCTGAGATTTTGAAGGAGCATTGTTAATGTGCAGCTTAAGTGTACAGTACAAATAGAAAATCTCATTACACTTACCACATGCAGATGTTTTTCTGCGCAGTGCTGAAAACAGCAGGATAGTTAATGTTTCTGATCAAATACCATATCATATATTCAATCAAATATGTTGCTGCTTGTATGAAAGACTTGCTTGTCCTCTCAGACATGAAATATAGTTGATTTACAGGCCCTCTTCCTTTATGTAGTAATTTCATAGCTGTGCATGTGGTATTAAAAGTGAGAAAGAAGCTCTTACAAATTTCATCAAGGCTGAAGAATGGTATTACATGATCTATTTTGCACGTAGTGACAGAATACGTGTGTATGATACAGTCTGTTAGCAATTTGGGCTTGATTCTGCAACTTTAATCCAATAATGAGAAAAGGTTATGCAAAATATGGACAGATGGGCAAAATTTTTCTATTTGGTTCTCATACTTGATGAATATACTGTAATCTTTTAAACTTGCATATATGTCATTATTGATTTGGCTATGAGTGCAGAGGCTGGTTGTCTTCATATGAAATCATTGGCAAAAATCCCGTTGGTTTCAATGGTGTAGTTATCTTCTTCAAGTCAATATTGGAGAGGATTATGGGTTCACAACTTCATTATTTTAAGCCATATTGAGCTATAAAAGAATCTATTTTTATTATCTGTAATATCTCAGTTTCTGGTGAAAAATGGGAGGAGTTCAACTTGGCATTCAGGACTTGGTTCATAGCTCTTTAATGTAACTAGAAGAACTTTTTATTGATTAAAAGCTGGTTTGATACCAGAGCCATAGAGGGATAGTAGATGGACAACTGTAGCTCATTTTTATAGTTACCTGCCTAGCTTCAATTTCAGATGAAGCTTTTTTCCTCCAGCCAAAGTGTATAAGCAGGCTGGATTTCAGGGTTAACTCATCAGTGTTCTATGTCACTGTGCTATGCTTTGTTTGTTTTATTAATTGACATACTGACTTGAGCCTTTGTTCTGAAAAATAGATGCAGTGTACCAGAATCATAGTTGGTGTGAGTTTTGCACACCACCGCCACTACTGAGTCTGACTTGTACGCTGACTATAAAATTTCAGTTACAGATGTCTGTTACACTGTTTGTAACAAACTTGATTGTGGGGAGAAGGTAATTTCATTTTAGCTCATGATATTTAATTACCTGAAGATTAATGCATTTCTAGAAATACATTGTTACTAAGTCGTTAAGGTAATGTGGGGAGGAGGTATCAATGTAATAGGAACCCAATATAGTTGTATCCTGTTGTCTTTTTTCTTGTGTTTTCGTTGAAATGCTTTAAGCTCGAACGTGATCATGAACAACTTGTTAATTATGTAGTGTGTAATTCATCTGAAAGAAATTTATATGTGTCAATTTAAGCCAAAACAGTATGATTCTATTACAGTATTTCTAGAACCCAGTTAATCTTACATTAATGCTAAGATAATATAATCCTGCTGTGCATGATCTGGTTTTGCTCATAGATTAACTTTTATATTAGTGAATTATACTTGAGGTAGCTATATGTAAATGACAGGATTCTTGCATTTAACGATATTATGGTCCATGTCGACACCAACATCCTGACCTTGCAAATAGCTCTGCTTTGTTTTGGGGCTGCTGTGCAGGTATGCATGTCTGCACACCAAATGTCTTGCTTCCTAAGATAGGAACCACCAGTGAAGAGTTACTCTACACTCGGCCTCCTTGCAGAGATGCGATTTTTTTTTTTTTATTTTTATTTTTTTTTAATTCCTCTTTCTACCTGGGACTTGATCTTGCGCTTATGTCCACAGGGCCACAGTGGATGGCTTGGGAGAAAGCAATTGCAAGCTCAGAATCTCGATAGTGAGATTCAGTCCATAATCCTGCACTGATTCTTCAAATTCTTCATGAGTTACTTATGGTGTCAGTGGGGTTGTTTTCTTGAATAAATGCATGTGTTCTCCATAGTTAAAGACCACATTGCGTATTCTGTATAGCTTTTAATCAAGCTCTCACAGCTGCAAAAAACCTTTTCTTTGTTTTTCTCACTTTGCTGATATCTGTTTTATAATACTAGTGTTTGTGTTTATGAATGTTTGGCTTCAACAGAAGACTTACAATTTTTCTGCTGCACACATATATGCATAATTGACAAAGCCTATTTGTATCAGACTGTGATTCTGCTTTATTTTTTCAGTTTCTTGACAGTACTGGTAATGATGTTAAAGCAACAAGGCCTTCAGTGAGTCTGTGGTGATGAATTGCTCAAATGAGCAATCGGTTTCTTGGGTCAGTTGCTTTGAGCTAGGTGAGCATGTCATTGCTAGACACAGGGAAAACCTCTTCAGAAAAACTAAATTTCTGTAACTTGAAGATGGCTGGACCAGCTTTCCATTTGCTTTCATAAAAAACTCACCTTTATGCTGAATCCAAGAACTGAAAACCTCTCCAAAGGCATTTTGTGGTTGATGTGCTGCTGACAGCTGGGAATTGAAGTGGGAGCTGTATTTGGCTTCAGCTCTTCTGCTACTATGTGCGCACTCTGTTGCTGTTAACAATTTGTATACATGTGGTGTAATTCTGGATAGGTGTATGATGTGCATATTCAGATTTTCTGTGCATGTACATACTTAGGTTCAAGAAACATGTATGCAAAATATGTTAAAAGCAAGAGACTTTTGGTAGTAGCAACAGCTATGATATGTGTGTACGTGTGTTTACTTGGAAAAGAAACCCAACCCATAGACCTATACGCAGTGGTTGGCTGACCTCCCTGTATGACTCTTTCTACTTATGTGGTTACTCATTCTCTTTGTTAATGTATTTTTTTTTTTTATGCATAGGCTAGAATGTTGTGGAAAAATACCTGCAAGCACAATTCCTAACCATTCGTCATGGCTTCACTCTGGGGTTTAGATCAGACACATCTAAATCCTGCTCTGTAGTTATGTGCTCCACGTTCTCATGATGGCCGTCTTCCAGATCTGTGGGTCTGGAACGTGACTGATGTGCACTGGGGTTCTTTTGCTGAACGGCACTGGGTTTGGGACTGTTACAAGAGAGTTTTGTCATGCATTGTGTTTATGGTCATGGGGGAAAGGGGGGGAAGCTACAGACGGAGGTGTTGCTGTGGGGCTTGCACTGTATCTGTTATGCATTCATATACAGCGTCATTTCCCTGTCACTATGAAACACCTTTACCGGTAGCGGTCACACACATCCCCTTTGGATTGTGGCATTTTCTGTCTCGGATTAAATGTGTGTTAATCCTGTGGGTGTTGCCATTCCTTCTACTTGCAGCTTCTCGACGTCATTCCAGGTCCACTAGTGCTCTCTCCACTGCTGATTCTGTTGGGCAGTCAGGTGAACAAGCGCTAACTGCATGAATCTGCTTCTTATACGTAGTCTCGTTTTACACCATCTTAACATTTGGCATCATGTGCATCAGCCAGCACTTGGCATGTGCTTCTCACCGCTGTGGGGCTTTCTGTTCTGTTTTTGTTCAACGTGGCTTTTTGTTTTGAATTTCACTTATTGGATGTTTTTAATTTTATGTATTTTAGGAACATTTTGAACAGTGTTTAAACAAAGGGTGATCCAGGGCTTTCTAGTTTTTCCTGTAAATTGGATCAGTTGTGCAGCACGGGCTAAATTCTGACAGATGCAGAGTACTTGTAACTTCTGCTTATATTTCCTCTTTAGCAATGTAGCAGTTCCCAGTGCCTAGGACTGGATCCCAGTGGGTTTCATCCCATTTATTACTAAATATTCTGGACTCCCGTCTCTATTAATGCAAGTTCTTTGTGGGATCCTCTCCAAAATGCACAAGAGCAGCAAGAATTAAACACCGGATGAGCTTTCAAAATGAACTTTGGAGCATAACACATGCTGATCCATCCTTCATATAATTCCGAAGGCCTTGTCCAAAGTACATGGAAGTTGTTGAAAAAGTTATTCCCTTAATTTCACAGGGCTTTGCATCAGGAGACTAATGCTTATGTGTAATGGGAAAAATCAGCAGATTCCAGTTGCTTCTTCCCCACCCTTGTGCTGGATTTGCAGTTATGGAGAAGCTGTAACTCAGTTTGAAATAAGGATGTTTCACTGGGAGTCTTCAAGGAAATCAATGAGGGCTGCTTTGGGACAATGGAGACTTAACTGGGGACAAAGTTGATGTAGAAGATGAGGGCTTCAGTGTTTTCTTGGAGGCTAAAATTGTATAAGGAATTAGTGATACTGGAAGTTATTTAATTAATCCCCTTCAGGTAGAGAGGGAAAAATATTCTCTTTCTTCGAAGTCTAGTTAAATGGCTGTCACTTAATTAAAATTCTCAAAACATCTCCCTTACCGGGTTACTTGGCAGAAATGATGCAAGCTGGCATTTTTTCAAAGTAACAATCTGAATTTCTATTTTAAGAAAAATAATTGAAAATATTTAAATAATTCAATTGTAATACAGATTTAAGCTTTGTTTGCATTCAGTTTCCTCTGATAGTTGCTTCATGCTTGGCTCCTGTGGTGTTCAGTACAAAGTGTAATAAAATTCTGTATAATTACCTGTGTCCTAAAGAAGGCCAAAATCTCCCTAAAAATAGCAAGATCAGGCCAAAAATGGTGGTTGGGAATTTTCACCAAGTTTGTAACAAGTGTAAATGATTCTTGTCAGAAAGACAAGGAATCTGGCCAGACCATACCCTGCTTATTTCTTGCCCAGTAACATTGGGCTTGCTTGTACTAGTTATTCCTGGAGCCAAATGTGTTCCCAGCCCTTCATTAGAGATATGCCAAGGCCTCTCCTAAGGTCTAACTTCTGCACTCAGGGATGGCAACAGTGTCTTGGGGAGAAGCTCAGAGTGACTTGGGTGTTACGAATTTAAAGATCACAGAAAGAAGTATTTCAGAGAATTCCTGACAGCCATGGAGACAGTTAAAGGCAGCATGCCACACTGTACTTAATCTGTTAAAAAAGCTCCATTTTCTTTATGCTGGGTATTTAAACTGATCTAAAACTGAATTACTTTGTCATTTTGTTCTTCATTTTTTTAAAAAAACCCGAACTATCTTCCCTTTTCTAATGTAATACTAAATTTACATGAAAACAAATGACAATGGTATTTTTTTATACTATGTTATTTCAAAAGTTAAAGTCAAATTCTGATCTCAATAACACTTGAATAATGTCATTGAGTTGGGTTTAAATATAAAACTGAGTCCAGAACTTGTCTGAACATTTGCAGCCCTTGTACTGTACCAGATACCATTTACACTTAGGAAAATACTTGTCTTCTGTACATCTTTGTAGTGGATATCTCTGTAGTAGTAACTTTAGTTTCAATCAGACCTAATGTGTTCTCTTCTCAGTGCTTCTATTAAGACTGTACAGATCTTTCCATTTTAGGGATGAAGTACTGTTTCACCTAAATATTTGAAATGATTCTTCAATCCAAGTGCATTAAAAAAGGGGATAGTAATAACACATACAACTTTTATTTCTTTGTGAAATGTCATGATTTGATTACTTTTTGGCAGTAGTTCTAAGAAGTTTGTTTATTTTTTTTTCCCTTGTAATGTGTTTTGTAGAAAATGTGCTTTTGTTGTAAATCAGAAATGTCTTGTCTGGGTACATAACTCTGAGAAACAGTAATTTTTTATAGATAACACTTCTATTTGAAATAAATACTAGTCCTCAGAGGTTTTTGGTTTTTTTCCTCAGTATACTTCAAATTTAAAAAATCTTCCCTATTTCCCCTCAGTAGCTTAATCTCTGACACACATGGGTAAAGCTTTGGAATTAGGACAGTAGACTGGCAAACTTTAAATTATGCATGTCAGTGTGAGCTAATTCCTTAAAAGACATTTCAGTGCAGTGGGTTTTTAAAGAAGAAAGCAATGAAGTTTTCTGATAAGCATAGCGTTTTTCCTGACAAGTACATTAAGCTGATGAATATAATTTTTGACTTCAGTTTTGTGGAAACCCGCAATATAGTTAAGCGTTTTGATAAACAGTATTTTTCCTTCATTAAATTAAATATAGAGAAACTAATAAAAGACCTGTGTGACTTGATCCCTTTCTCCTGCTGCTTGATGACTGCCTCTAATGTGGATCAGCTGAAAGTCTATTAAATAGTTTCATGCAGCTTGATTCGTGCACCTCTGAATTTGCTGGCAAAACTCTGATTGGCGTGTGTGGGTGCAGGGGACAGAGGTGTTAATGTATCCCAGGAGGGATATTCCCAGTCCTTCTTGAGCAAAGAGAAGCCCACATGGAAACAAGAACTTGGACTGCCAAAACAAATCTCTTTCTGCTTATAGACTGGAGCCAGGATCCCAGTAATATGGTATCTGATCTACCCCATGTAGAAGGACTCTGCTGCCAGAGTCTGGCCTGTGATACTCAAGTCACTGATCCTGTCATATGCCTGCTAGCATGCCTTTCTGAATTTGGCCTTTCCCCACAGAAATTAGTTTTGATAACTTTTTTGGGTAGACTTGGCAAGTGATAAAGTAAACTAATTAATATTAGGAGTGTAAATGGCATTTTAGACTCAATCCTGTTGCTTTGGATGCCTTTGAGAGCTTTGCCACTAAATTCAAGGGGAGAAAGATGTTATTGATAAAAAAAAAAAATTTTGATATATCGTAAAGCTTTTAAATGACATTTAAAGTGCTTCTCAAGAATAGTAATAAAACAAAAATGGGAGTCACTTCACAAGCAACAATAAACCTTACTTTTATACTGTGGCATGTAAGGGGATATTCTGCTGGTTAATCAAGCCTTGAGACATAAAATAGGCTAATCTGGTGCTGCTAGTCTCTGATCCTTGCCTGAGAAAAAGCTGCAGGATAGATGAGTGCTCAGGTATTAACATGTTCTGACTGGGCATGTTTCTGTTCTCTGAAGTTAATGAGAAGCTTTCTCTTGATTTCTGAGTGCCAGATTGGGACCGGCATGTCTGCCTCTGAAGTTAAAATGAAACTTTGAAACAATTTCTGTGTAAAAAAGAAACACAAAATAGATATGCCACTTCCCAGCTTAAAAAAAAAAAAAAAAAAAAAAAGTTGCCCTGAGGATCCAAAATTGTCTTTGGGGCCCAAGAAACAATAGTTTATTTCTTGCTCTAATGGCAAACTCTCTAGAGCCGTGGATAAAAGAGTGTTTAATGAAAAAGCACTGCAAGTTCCCAGAGCCCGTGGGGAGAGCTGCTCGGGCACCTGATTAGGATTCCAAGTGAATGTGAATTCATTTAACAATCCCTTTCAATGTTGTCTTTTGTGCAGACCGGTTTGGACTCGGACAGCCAGGCAGGATGCCTGCTTCTGTGAATGCCATGCGAGTCCTGAGCACAAGCACAGATCTGGAGGCTGCTGTGGCCGATGCACTGGTAAGAGGAAAAATACAAAATGCTTCCGACACCAGAAAGTGGCTTGAAACAGTTACCTGTACGTACGTTCTCCTCTTTCTAAATAGCTTTGTTCTGATTATGCCAGTGTCTGATGCTGTAGAGTTAGTTACCTTTTGCTATTTTGTCTTTGGGTATGTCAGCAGCAATATTTGTTTCTTTATTCCGTGTTAGTCTCCGTAGTTGTTATCAAACAGAATGCGGTGGCTCGGTGCTAGAGCTGCAGGATGGGTTGAATCAGCTGTTTGTCTTTCACTTGGTTGTCAGAGGATGTCCATGGCACTCTGGAGGTGCTCGGCAGCCACGGGGCCAGGGATTTCCATCAATCCCATTGCCTGCATGAAGACGGTCAGAGAAAGTCTTCTCTGTTAGTGTCAATTCCTGATCAGGTTTCAGAAGAACTGAGAATTTCACAAGTTCCTGCCCTGTGTTATTTCCACATGGCTAAATACTTGGATCAGCTTATAACTTGGCTTGCCTGTAATCAGTACCATCTCATGCAGTTAAATTGAAGTGTATTTGTATAGTTTTCAACTAGTACTTTCAGACATTTGGTGCATTTCCAAGTAAATTTATTGCTATTTTTTAAAATGTTACTGTCCTGTATAATCTTACTGTACTATAATATCTCTCGGCTAGAACTCAGAAAGTGTTTTCTGCTCTTCAGGAGACAAGTGTTAAGATAAGCCTTTGAATTTGCCTTGAGTATTTGTGGGGGAGAGGATGTGTAGAGGCAGGAGCAATTTTACAGCATTAGCTGGGTACCGATGTACCTTGGGTCTTCAGCTCTAGAGCTGAGCTGAGGGGAGGATTTCCTGATGTATCTTGAGACAGATATCTCAGATCTCTCTTTATGGAGAATGAACCATGTCCCTGGAGTTTGTGATTGTTGTCCTTTCTCCATTTCCTAGTTCACTTTCCCTAAGGATGGCTAACATTTTCCTTTTCATATTTGATTCTCACTGAGCTCATGTCACTTCCATTTCTGGATGATTATTAGTGTACTCCTACAGAAATGTCAGTTTTTACAAAATCTACCTTTCCATTAAAAAAAAAATATTTGTGAATAATACAAAGGTAGGACAGTATATAATTGATGCCATCATTGCATTTAGTGGGCTGAATGATTAGTGGGCATTCTTATTGCCAAATACAACAGCTTGTGAGCCAATTTCTACTCTCAGCACCTCAGATTTGCCACCAGAGCAGTTCAGGACATAATTATAGCTGATGGTTTGCCTGTGTAAATGAAATTGGGCTGTACCCCTGAATGTGAGCAGTTGATGAATACAGGTTTCTTGAGGGAGAAGAGGGTCACAGGTTTCAATTCGCTGCTGATCACTGAGATTTCTTTGGGTGTGACTTAATCTTCAGCTAAACTTAGATTTCCCTTTTAAATATTCCACTCTTTTAAACTAAATAAAATTATACTGGAATGTTAAAATCTTAAAGGGTTGAACACTCGCAATGGAAATCCTTAAGTCTAGCTGGAAACTAGGTGGTGCTACTGACTTGGTTGATCAATCTGAATTTGTATGACTTTAGGGGATGCAATGTGATCTTGTTCCTTTCTTTCCCAGCATCCCAATTTGCTCTTTTTCTTGGTTGTCTTCTTACAACAGGCAATTTACAAACTCTGTTCAGGCTCCTTTTAAGAGAGTAATGTGATGCCAGCTTTTACCCAGCAGCCTTGTTTTCAGAGAAATAATCTTTTCCCTGTAGTAGGAGATGAAAAGAACTCTGAAGATGGTTTCAGTTTAAACAAAACACAGTGGGTCATTTTGTGGCCTCTACTCCCTGTGTACAATTCCCGTTGGATCCACTGCTTCTGTTTGAGAGCTGGACTTGGCCTAAACCCACAGTGTCTATAGTGGGAATCAGTGCTCAGATCTGTCAGAAGAGCTCAAAGGGTGATGGAAACTTTGGCATTAAGTAAGGCCTTTAAGCCAGGGGTGCCAGCCAGGAGGTCTTAAAAGAAGCTAAGCTTCAAAAAAGTGTGGTGTAAGAACTGCAGGTTGAAAGAGACCTTGGTTAAGTGAAGTTGATTAAATGTGCTGTACTGTAGATAGTGGTTTCCTGACATCAGAATTTCTTTCTAAGACTCTCAAATGTGTGGGGAGATAAATCATCACCAAAACCTCTGATATCTTCCAGAGCAGTGTTTCTGAAAAGTATGCAAAGAGGTGCTGTATATAGATGTCATTAAAAAAACTTAAAAGATAATCTTACTTCCAAGCTCCCTAATGGAAATTGCAGGCTGTGCAAGTAGTGCGACAGTTAGAAGATAGCCAGGCGTTATTATACCCGCTTTTATTTTGCGTAAACTGTGTTTTTTTTAATTTGCTAAGACACATTTGCTATACGTTTTTGTTGCAAAAACAAACCCTACATAAGCTTCTGACATAATTCTCTATGCTTTTTCCCACCCTTCAATATTTTCCTGCCTACAGCTGTTAGGAGACTCCAGGAGCAAGGTACTAGTGCTTTCTTGACTTTTTATTTCTACTTTCCAACTTTCCCCACCCTGTTGCTAACACCCATGATACTGCACTTGAGTTAATTTCTACGCTTCAATCCTGCAGTCCTAGTGGAAGCAAAACTCTGCTGGCTTTACAAGTCCAAGAACTGCAGGACTGGACACTGGAAGGAATTCTGTACCAAACACTTGAGAATATAGATGATCTTTTTCTGATATGTTGTCTTATTAATCCTGTTCTGTTAAGCTTCATTTAAGAGTTTGTTCTGTAGTATAGCATACAATTCGTTTTGCTACCATAATTATTCTAATATCCCTTCTGTAAGGATCGAGGGTGTCAAAGATGTACCTAAGGGAATCAGGTCTTCTAATGTCATGCTATGGAAATGAGTGGGATGGGGTACTCAACTCCCTTAGCAGCCACTGGAAAAATCCTAGCCCAAACTAACAGAGAAATTGTCATCTCCTATATCCCAGTGCGTTTCTAGAGTCACTTCATTATCAATATCAAAGTGACTGTGCATGCCAGCACAGATGCCTTCAGCTCTTTCTTCCTTATCTTTATTTTTTTTCTTGAAGTAGAGGTGGTGTCATCATAGAGTCTGTAACAATGGAACTGACCATTATTGACAATAAACCAGCATACGATACCATTACCAGTAGCTAATTCCACTGGGCATGAGTATCCCGCTTTCATGTTGGGGAAGGCAGGCCCTGCTCCCCTTAGTCTCTTGGGTAGTCTCATTGAAGTTAATGGGATCTGTCTTGCTCTACTGTGAGAGGTAAGCAGGCAGTGCTTGGTGACGTTTTAAAAACACCTATGTCACTATAACAATAGCATTAGTCTTTTAGTGATTACGGATAGAATGTTTTTCTTTTGGCATTGATGTAACTATATATAAAGTTACTAAGTCTGAGTTTCCCCTTTTCCAGAAAAAGCCAGTGAGAAGAAGATATGAACCCTATGGGATGTACTCCGATGATGATGCTAACAGTGATGCATCAAGTGCTTGCTCTGAGCGCTCCTATGGTTCCAGGAATGGGGGCATTCCACACTACCTGCGGCAGACTGAAGATGTGGCTGAGGTCCTGAACCATTGTGCCAGCTCCAACTGGTCTGAAAGGAAAGAGGGGCTCATAGGTCTTCAGAACTTACTGAAAAGCCAGCGGACACTGAGGTGACCTTGATAGTTTTATAGTGTCGGTCATTCATGAGAGATGGCTATAGTCAGCAGTCAGTAATATGTACCTGCCTTATGGAGACAGATCGTGTCTTTCGCAGCTGTGAAGGCTTTGTCTCCACAATGTGGCACTTTAGTTGCTTTTGGAAAAATTTCTGCTATGTTATTGGTATAATTTGTGTTAAATTTGTAGCAGTAATGTAAAAAGGACTTGGGTAAGCATGCTGTCTTCTCATAGCTTTGCTGTGTCTCATGAAGACCTCCAATGGTAGGTGCTTGTTGCAACACAGTGAGATCTCCCACAATGACTATACTGTAAATGCACTCAAAGGGTGGTACCATTTTTACATTATTCTGTTTGAACCTTCAATTTTTTGTTTCCCCAGCCATTTAGTTGGTGAAGCAGACACTCACTGCTTATTCTAAAATGTCTCAGGGTGTGGGTGTTTCAAAGATGACGTCAGACGACGCTTTCAGTATGTTGGGTATACTTTGACTCTTTATGAAGGCTGTGTTAGGTGTAATTACAGATATTATTTGTAAGTCTTGGAAAATCTGATCTCAGAAACTTGAGTCTCCTATAAGTGGTGTAGTTCATAATGTAGAGGGAAGCTTCTCAGGGCAATGAAGTAGGTGTACCAACTCTGAAACTTTACTTATGGTAGGAGAGGCAGATCTTTTTCCCTTGTTGAAAGCCACGTAAACCCTTCAAACACCTTTGGCAATGTCACACATTAAAACAGGTCTTAGAATTACCCAATAGTCATGTGGAAACTTCATATGACCACAGGTCATGTTAACTAAAGCCAACTGGCTCTTAGGCCATAGGCTTTTCACCCTTCGTTTATGGTGACAGTATTTGGAAACAATCCGTTTATCTGTTGGATCCTTTGAAGATAACATTCATGAATAGCTACAACGTTTTTATTTTCCTGTTACGAATATTATGTACTTAAATTATGACCAAGTTTATAAGTGGTGCTGTATGGTTTATAGCTTGCCTACGTAGATTTGCGCAATTGTTTCTGTTTTAAAAGGCCTTCGTGCTGGCTGAAAATATTTGATGGTTCATGTTAACAGGCTGAATGAAAATATACTGAAAGCAGGCTCAGAAAGGTTGTTCTCTTGCCATCATAGAAACATTCTAGCACTTCACGTGATATGGTACAGGCCTTAAGTGGGAAGTGCTACAGGTTTTTAATATGGGTAGTTGGAGTTTCTAGATCAGAGATGCTTTTTCGTGTGGTCTATTTATGAGTCTTTTAAAAGATGCTTCCCACATGTATGCTGCCTTTATTTTAGTGAACTGTCTGGAAAAACTGTGGCACCTCATATATTTGTATGAAAAAAGTTGGCTGAGACTTTGATTTTTGCCTCAAAGGTGTGTGAGGATTATAACCAAGGTTTTGAGTGCTGTTGGAGATAGTTCCAAGGGAGGAAATGCTGAGAAGGCTGGGTGATGGGCTGTTTATCCAGATCAATAGCTCTTAGCAGAAATACTGGTAGAATTAAACTATTGTTTTCAACCCTGCTGGTTGCAGTGTTTGAACTTTACTGCTGTTGCTAGTCCCTCAAGCTAGCAAGTTTTCTTAGCTTTTGATCCTGAATAATTTATAAACCTGTCCCAGAAACTGCACCCCTGCAGAGTAATTTTTTAATTTGATACTGGTTTTAATTCTCTAGATTATATTTCATTTTGGTTTGCTCTTGGTCTGCTTCCTCCTTGGTTTAGGGTTGATCTGGCGCTTGTTCTAGTGATTAGATTTTATCATCCTGTTTGTTCCCACGGCATCTTGCAGAACATCATCAAGGTCATTAGTACAAGGGGCAAGTCTGTCTGTCTTTTAATTAAACCTGATATCTTCTGTTGTGGTGTAACAAGTTTAATAAAAGGCAGTGATGTGGCTAGGTTTTCTTTAGTAGTCCGAACTGAAAGGTAGCTGCTCCTATATTGGCTGGGATTTGCATATCCAGAAAGATGTGAATGCAAAGTGGTATGGTGCTCACCTATCCTCTTTGTTTTATACCTCCTCCTTTGGCCTAGTTCTCTAAGGAATCCCCATAAGGTCATCTAAATAAAATAAGGCCAACAAGTCCCTTAAGGAAATGTTCTCCCACTGCCTGTTTCAGTGTACTACTTGCATTGTTACCTCAGGTCCATGAGCTTTTACAAAGAGACATGCTTATACTTGCTGTCTTCATGTAACCTTTGCCCAGAAAGAAAATTCATTAGGGTAATAAATAAGGGTTCATTTGGAGAGCTACAATCTCTATGAAGTCAGGAGAGCATTGTAGTCATTTTGAGACTGTGCAGTCTCATCCTGAATGAAGCTGACAGCTTGCTGTGGTGTTACAAAGACTTTTTCCTCTGCATCAAACTCTTAAGACCATTGTTTTCCTGCCCTCTTAAAATTTGATGAGCCTTTCATGCATAGGTTTATTTTTTGGGGAAAAAAAAAAGTCTTGTGTTGTGGTTTAACCCCAGCTGGCAATTAAGCCCCACACAGCTACTCGCTCCCCCCTGGTGGGGTGAGGAAGAGAACTGGAAGAGTGAAAGTGAGAAAACTTGTGGGTTGAGCTAAAGACAGTTTAATAGGTAACGCAAAAGCCACGCACACAAGCAAAGCAAAACAAGGAATTCATTCACCACTTCCCAGAGGCAGGCAGGTGCTCAGCCATCTCCAGGAAAGCAGGGCTCCATCATGCATAACGGTTACTTGGGAAGACAAACGCCATCATGCTGAACATCCCCCCTTCCTTCTTCCTCCAGCTGTATATGCTGAGCAAGATGTCACGTGGTGTGGGACATCCCTTTGGTCAGTTGGGGTCAGCTGTCCCAGCTGTGTCCCCTCCCAACTTCTTGTGCACCCCCAGCCTACTTGCTGGTGGGGTGGGGTGAGGAACAGAAAAGGCCTTGACTGTGTGTAAGCACTGCTCAGGCATAACTAAAACATCCCTGTGTTACCAACACTCTTTCCAGCACAAATCCAAAACACAGCCGCCTGCCAGCTACTGTGGAAAAAATTGACTCTATCCCAGCAAAAACCAGCATGGTGTGTTACTTACAAACAAGCTAACATAAAATAGCTGTAGACTACTAGCATGTTCTGGCCTATTCTTTGAAGCTTATTTTGAGAGAGCGAAAGAGATGTGGTGGTGGACTGTAGAATTAATGTCTTTCTGGAAAGAAGGCACTTGTAGTCAAGACCTGAATGGCTGTTCTCTGAGCTATCCATGTGCATTTCTCTAGTTGCTCTGGTTTCATAGTAATTATGAAAAATATCTAACTGCATCCATAGTATGCAGGAAATGTTACTTAACTGTCTTGCCCTGTTTTTGTTTGAACAGTAAACAAGGAAAACTTCTGCATTCTTTGGCAGTTTGCCTTGCAGGAAGACTTAAGACTTGTAGTTTCAATACATTGCAAATAAGAGCTTTGGCACCAAACAGTTCTGCATTTAACTCAAACTCAGTATTTTATGAAAGGGACCTATACATCAGTATTTTTTTCCCCAGCATAAAAAAAGCATTACTGAGCACCTCATAATCTCTTCCTAATAGGGATTTAGATTGTGCCTTGATTCAATTATCTTACGACTTACTAGGTTGCCCACTTGTTAATCTGTCTTCCATTTCTATATATTTGTCTCCTCAATGTACCTGCTCTCAAACTTTGGAGTCAGTTCTGGTATCTGTTAATACTGTATGATTCTAGACTGATTTTGGTGAAGCAGATTAGTATATACCCAAACAGCATGAAAGTTCTGATTTTTACTTGAAAATTTGAATTCCCTGACAAAAAGAGACTTGAGAAGCCTATTCCTAAGGGGCAAAAGACCCATTTTCAGTGAGTCAGCAGTAAATACCTCCCAAATGTGCATATTTCAAGTTGTCTTCTTCAATACAGAACATAGAAGAAAATAGAAGCAGCAGAAAATACAAGTGTCCAGCTTATGAATTTAAAAAAAACCCCGATTATTAGATTTCTTAATGTAGGACTGGTGATCCCAGCAGCTAAACTGGATGCCAGTTAAGGCTTTGCCTTGACACAGAGTTTTCAGAAGTGTGACTTAAGTAACATTTAAATAAAGAAGGTTAGATCTTTCAACTGTTAATATTTATTAGCTTTTTTGCTGCACCTAAAACTTTAGCATTAATACTATGTTTTATTTATGTATTTTAGCCGAGTCGAGTTAAAAAGGCTATGTGAAATATTTACACGCATGTTTGCTGACCCTCACAGCAAGGTAAGATCAGAAAAGCTTGGCTTGTTCTCTTACATTACCATGTGTGCACATCTGACACTGTTCCAAGATTAATGTTTTGTATTTCTGCCCTTACCATCTGCCGGGGAAACTAGCATTTATAAATCTTTTTGGTTTTTATCTGTTTTACAATGAAGGGATGTGGCTCAGTCTCTCTTATGTTGCTAGGAACTGTTTGCTCTGTGCTTCCCGAGTAGCAGCCTAATGCCTTTCAGATGTCAGCTCCCAGAGCAAGAAGTTCAGTTTTATCTGTTTTTCTCTAGGGGTTGGCTTGGTGATACACTGTAGAGTGAGATCCATGAAGGGTAATGAGCTGTAGCTCAGCATCATGGTTACTGGGGTTTGTGTATTGTATACATCTAGGAGCGGTATGGGGTCTCCCCAAGGTGCTGTTCTGGATCTCATAATTAAAATCTTCAGTATAACCACTTTGCCTTATTTATAACACTGACTTTGGAAGTTAAAGGCTGTGGCACGAATTTACAGGCATCTCTTAGGAAGGAGAAGGCTGGGGAATGGGGAGGTTGGGCCCACAGGCACGTTCAGACCCAGTGGTCTTACGTCGACAGGTAAGCAGGAGCAGGGAGAGAGGAAAAGGGAGTGTCATGCCCTTTCCTGAGGAGACTTGCTGATTGAGGGCAACCAGTAATGGCATGGTAAAAACATCTGCTGTTGGGTTAAGAAACAGTTTGAGAAAGAGTAAGTTGTATAAATATTTGTACTTCAGACTGCTTGGTAAACCAGTTTTAATAAACAGTTGTCAGGTGGAAATCCCCTGGGCAGGCATGCTTGCCTGTCACAAGTCTTGCTCAAAGTGTGCGTTTTTGGCTGTTAATTATAATCTGGACCAGCTGTCCCACAGGCCTTGCTGAGTGTGGCAGTTCCTACCTGTAAGGTCTTAATGTTTTGGTTCTCAAAGATTCAGCATGTGCGGTGGAAAGGGTGAAGGTGTAGCTGTTCGTTTGCAAAATATTTCCGATTTCTGAGTAAGGTGAGGGTTTATTGCACACTGGACTCAAGTATATCCTCTGTGACAGCGATGTTCTGTCATCTGCACTGCTTTTATAGAATTACCAACTTGTTAGCTGTGGTGTTAAACATATGTAAACTTTGTTACATATAAACATATATAAATGTGTTACTTTCATGACTGAGGAGACTGGATCTGATCCAAACTATATAATATTTTAAGTAAATCCACTGAGAAAAGATTGTGTTTTAAGAAAATGTAAACTTTCAATGAATGTATCTTTTATCTGTTGACAATCTGCATCTGAACAACCAGCCTTGATCACTATGTGTGCTAACGAGTAATTTTTGTTGTTGCATGGCCTGCTTTGCTGTGGAACTCACAACAGAGAGTAAGTGTATTCTACCCCCTTCCTTCATTTGTTTCATGTGGTATTTTAATATGACACATTTTAGGCATGTCTTGTCTGATTATTTTTTTTCAGAGCAATGTAGTCACTAAAATAGTTCATTGAAATGTCTATAACAAAATCATCCTGAAACTCCGATTGTAATCCCCTTCCCTGTGATTATTTTTATTTAAAGAATCTTAGTCCTTTTAGTGACACTTATTTTGTTTATAGGTCTTCAGCATGTTTCTGGAAACACTGGTTGATTTCATCATCATTCATAAAGATGACTTGCAGGATTGGCTTTTTGTTCTCCTGACCCAGTTGCTGAAGAAAATGGGAGCAGATTTGCTGGGGTCTGTGCAGGCGAAAGTTCAAAAAGCTCTGGATGTCACCAGGTAGAGTACTCAGTTGGCAAATGTTACGGAGGTTTTTGCAGGATTACAGGGAGGCATCTGATGAACACTTTAGAAACCAGCAGTGCCGTATATTTTGAGGGTTCAGTCTTAATGAATACCAGAATAAAGGAGAACAAAGTTATGTCACAATATTTCAAGCATTGAATTAAAAAGGCCTGTCTCTTTTCTAAACAGATAACTTTAAAGCACAACATTTAAAATGTGTAACTGATTCATTTTGATAATCTGTTTTTTTAGTGTACTGTGCTTAGATACTAATTTTCTTTTTGATTGATTTGAAAAAAAAAAAAAAGTGTTTGCCATTTGCCATTTTTAGAATATGAATGGTGCTGTACCACAAAGTTTGGAGCATCTTTCATGTTGTTCAAACAGCAAATAACAGTAATATCAGGATAAGACCTTGAATGTGCCCGCCAATTCCATGGTCCGTATCCTTTTCTAAGGATGTCCATCACAGGCCATTGTTACAATAAAGTTCAGCTCATCCTGGAAATAGGATAATTTAAAAAAAAAATAAATAGTAGTAATCTAGGAGAAAATAGACCAGAGTGGGGGAAAGAGAGGTGAGAAGGCAAAACCAGATATAAATTCGAAGGACAAGATAAGCCAGGCTGGTACCAGAGATAAGGGAACAAAGCACAGCCTGAAATGAAGAAGGAATGGACAGGTGTGCCAGAAGCTGGGCAAGTGTACAGAAAGCAGATAGAGTAACAGTGTATAAAGGTATTGATTTAGCAGTTTTCCTCTGTGGAGGAGTATTAAATCAGTAATTAGTTAATCCTTAGACCTCGAGTTTCTGTGGTTGATGGTAAAGTTAAGAGGAGGAGCATGGTAAGTGTTGAAATCTGTTGTGCAAGCTTTAATTTATTGAGTTAATCTAATCATGACAATTTACGTTGCATTACGTTTTTGCCTTTGTTTTCTTTGGACAGAGATTCTTTCCCATTTGATCAACAATTTAACATTTTGATGAGGTTTATTGTGGATCAGACCCAAACACCAAACCTGAAGGTCAGTACCAAAAGCCTTTTCACTAAAGTATATCGGTATGGTTGTCTTAGCTTGCCATGTCAGGCATACCAGAAAGCATAGAACTCCTGATAAGATAACTAATTTGTAAGTACCTGCGTGATACAGAAATTATATCAGCAACTTCGATTAACTCTCTCGTTCTCCATTTTAATAAATCTAAGTATCTTTACAATAGGGCCCTATAGCTCATCACAAGTCAGTAAGACTTGGGCTTTAAGCACACTGGAACATATTAAAGTTTAGACTTGGAAAATTCCTCTTTACCCTGGTTTTGGTGGGAAGAAGACCTGGCCGTGCAGGACAGAAGGGACCAGACCCTGTCTGAACATCTGGGAAGCTGAGACCCTAGGCACACCTTAACAAGTGCTTGTTGCACAGGTCAGATGTAGCACGTGTAGGGTTTGGAGAAAAAAACATCAGAGCGCTCTGTTACTGAATCCTCCCAAAGGGATACTGTTGTGCAGAATGTATTTCAGGAGATTGCTGTTTCAAGGCAATAGGAACAGTGTAAACTCTGGAATTCATACACATCTATCTTCCAGAGACAGGAATATACAGGATGCCAAATAACTCAAGTGTTCTTTCATCAGTCTCTCAAATTTTGGACCTTTTGAGTATCTGGTATCAGGCATTTGGTTTGAGACCCAAACGCTATGGTTTCGCATCTGGAACAATAACTGCTGGTGGAAACAGCGTGGTGCAATACTGATTTGCTTGGGCAAACGCAAAAGCAGACCTGTGTGTTTCATGCCAGTTCTGATATACCATTCCAGACTCCTACTACACAAAATTTATCCTGGGTAGAACGTTGCTCCTGATTTTTGAAAGATGACAGTCTCAGGGATACTTTTTTATCCCCTGTGTGACATAAGTCTTGTCAATCTGTAGTGGTGTCTGTTTATTATGGGGTAAATCCATCTTTGCCAGCTCAGGAGCATAACAAATCCCTTTTCACCTCTCAGGTGAAAGTTGCTATCTTGAAGTATATCGAGTCCTTGGCAAGACAGATGGATCCAACAGACTTTGTGAACTCCAGTGAGACAAGACTTGCTGTATCTAGAATTATAACTTGGACAACAGAACCAAAGAGCTCAGATGTGAGAAAGGTAAGCCAGGATGATGAAGTATTTGCAGTAATTATTGTTTTTCTTAAGGAAAAAAAAAAAACAAACAAACCACCAACAAAAAATGGTCATAAAGGTAATGAAAAATTCAGTGATTAGATTCTAATTTTAAAAATTGGATTTTGCATACCTTATTATCCAAACTATATTGCCAGGTCAGTAAACACATGTTTCTGTAGCACGTCTTGATATTTTTTATTTCTGGTAGGTATTTAGCCGTGTGACTTTTAACTGCTATTACTATGCAAAAAGAGATCATAGTTTAAAAATGTGCTTTTTCTTGAGAGTCTGGAAATATCTCTAGGTTTTCATTTATTTAGATGAAGGCTCTATGTCTTGTAGAATGAAATCTAGCACAACTTCTGTGTTATAATATTGTTAAAAGAAAGTAAACAAATCAGTAAGCTGCCAGGGGCTCTCAACTCTTTTCTTTTAAGAGCTGTGTGTTTATCTCAGCCTGGAAAAAACTGACACATTTAGGTCAGGTCTGGGTAATACAGTTACCTTGTTCTTTATCTTGCTCTAGATGCAAGTGTCAGGCAAGCTAAAATGGGGCAGATAGTGATACTCATCTCTCCCAAGAGAAAAGTGAGACTTAGTTTTATGTACCTGGCATCTGTGACACAGTTTAAAATTACTTCCTCTTCCCAGCCCGGATGTAGAAATAGATTCCAGTAGGAGTTAAAGGCTTTGAGATGTACTTGGATTTAAAAAAAAAAAACAAAAAACAAAAAACAAACCAACTTTAAGCATTTCTGAATGTAAAAATGGTATGAGATTTTTACACTCTGCATGCACTTAAAAAGTTGAATTAATACTAGAATAGCATATTATTTTGTAATGTTGGAAATAAGCAAATTATTTTTGTTACTAGTGATTATTTGGTTCTGATGGAAAAGATCACTGGTTTCCAAAGGTGCTGCAACTGCAGCATTATCTGATAGCTGACATAAGGCTTCAAAGAAGCTTTTTGGGTGCGTGCTGTTTGCTTTGTAGCATACAGCTGATTGCATCTAGAGAAAAATGTCTCATCCTCTTTTCTGAAGACTTTTTGCAGGGATTGTTCACACCAGGGTGACTGAAATTTGCTTCTGCAAGACAGTCTACCTCAGAAAAAAAGACTGACTAAATCCTGGGTTTAGATCTGGAATATGTGTTTCCATTTTGATGCTTCCATGTCCAAAGTCAGAAAGAATTAAACAGGCAAAGAAGCTGCTTTCCCTGTTACAGTTCAAGTAAACTTCAAGCAGTTTACTCTGCTGGTGGTCTACGAGAGGGAGTTGTAATTAATATAAGTAGAAATAGACATCGAAAAGCAAAATCTCTGTGTATTGGTCAGCAGAAGAAATATTTCCACCATTAGGGGTCGTCATTGCTGCATGCAAAATTGAGTGAAGAGTATCTGCAGCAACTGAAAAAACTGGCTGTTTGCTGTGAAGCTGTGGGATGTGGGGAGTGGGTGTTGATTGAAAGGCTTGCAGAGCTCTGGCAAAACTTCCAGCAAACTCCACCTGAGCAGTACCTGGGCAAGTGCCTTGGGGCTGACGAGATTACTGTATCTAAATTCTTTTTATTAAACCTACATGTGACTTGGATTTGCTTCTGATGCTTGTAGCTTTCAAATAAATTATTACACAGTTAAGCCAACTTAGGCTACTAAAGATGAACGCCCAGGTGATCTTTATTTCCTCATACCGTTGCTGTACTATGATTTTATTAAGAACATAGTACAAACCACAGGCTTTATAAGAAACACTGCAGCAAAGGGTTTATAAGCAATCATTGGCCATTATCTCTGTCAGGACTGTAGTTAACAGACTAATAAATTCATTATGCAGTAACGAACTGGATTATCAAGGGCCAACCCAGACAGGTGAAATGTTCTGAAGAATGCAGTTAAAAAATTGTCCTCCTTTTTTGGAGACTGTAACTTGGAAAATAAAGTGACTTTTTTATATCAAGATGATTCATTTAAGCATCAGAACATGCTGCCCTCATGAAAGGTGTTACGGTGCCCTTCAAGATGTGAGGTTTTCCAAGTGCAAAGCAGACTGTGCATCGTAAACATTGTCACAACCTAAAAATGGAGATGGCAGTTGAGGTTATGGGGGAGAAGGAGAAGAATCAGTTCAGTCCTCAAATGATGTGCTACAAAAGGCCTGTAAAAAGTGCAAAATAAGGTAATTTTTTAATAGAATCTGGATTTGAGACCACTGAGGAGTGTTTTTTTGCTACTGAGCAGTCTTGGCTGGCAATATCCAGTCCATGTATACTACTGCAGCTGACTTGATGGAACAGCCATGCTGGTGCTCGACTACTCATGGAGGCAGGGCCTCTTTCCCGCACGAAATGCAGTCCTGCAGCCACTGTGGTTCTCACCCAGACTGAGTTACTCAATGCTACCTTAATGCAAGTAGCATCTGTGTGTGTGGTGGCTGTGCTGTTCTGTCTAGATTTTAGCTTTGAGCAGATAGAGGTAGAACAAGCTTGGTTGTGCTGGTGGTGAAGTATATAAATGACCTCTGTCAGTGGGGAAAGCATGTGGCTGCTATGTGCACATGGCAATTAGTCATGCAGATCTGATCCTGTGGTAGCAATCAAGGGGTCTGTTCAAGAAATGGATTATATGTTCAGTCAATAGTGAGATTATCCTTTTATTAGTGATCACCTGTCCATTACTACTACTACTATTCCACTATGTGTGATAGACATGGAGATCCCAGCCCCGTAGCGTTAAGGCACTGGAGAAAAGTAGAACAAAAAGTGTAATTTAATCCAAAAACTTTTTTCAAACTGAATGATACAGCTTTATTAATAAACTTTGCATATTGTTACGATAACTGCTTAAGCACACTTAATGAGCACACTGAAGCTGTCTGACACCTGACTTGAACTGCAGATCGTGTTTTATAGCTAGTGAAATTAGAAAGAAACTTAGTCAAAGGAAATTATTTTGCATAAACCACGTTATAGTCTTGTATGGAATGATATCTGTAGGTAAACATAAGCTCTATTGCCACAATAAAAACATGATGTACTTTGAGGAACATACAGTTGATATTACAGAACATCATTGACAAAATGTCATGATTCCCTCTCAGGGCAGAAACCATTTGAGCTGCTGACAGTAGCCGTGAACTATGTACGGTCAAAATTATTGTCAAGTTTTATGTTTAAAATAAGGTGATTTGCAGTGTGTTACAGGTAAATATTTGTCTTGTTTTAAAGACTGTTAATACTTACGGGTGTTTACCCTGCATTCAAGTTAAGATTTGCTTCCTGCAAGCAGTGCTAGAAGAAAGGTGAAAGGCATTTGTCCTCCATGCTGAACAAAAGCCGTTGCATAGGAACAGATCATGCAGCACTGTGGATACCTGGATGGGTTCAGTGCAAGGAGAGGACCTGTTGGTAATTTCTGCACATACAGCCAGCTTGCTACTTTTTCCACCAAGCAGAGCATATCAATGGTCAGGGCAGAAATCAGGATTTCAGATCACTGAGCTCTAATTTTGATTGCAGTAACGTCTAACCTTGTGTGATGCACTTAACTTCCCTCTGCCTTGGTTTATTCCTCTCCGTAACGGGGCATTAATTCTGATTTTTCTCTGGAAAATATTTAAGATCATGAAATAATTTTACAAAAGCCAGTCAATTACCATACAGAAAAGTAACACAATGGCAATGCGAATACAGTGATGACTGGTCTGAGGACATTAAGTCAGTAACTTCACCATGTTATCACCAATATTGCCAGCAAAGTTATTGTGCAATCCTTACGTAGGTAAAGTGCTTATTGAATTTGGATGACAGGCTTGGGCTCTGTGGGAAAATACTTTGATCTTGGAAAAGAGCCATCAGTTTGAGAATGGAAATTAGAATGAGTCTTCTGATTTGAATCTGGACAAAGCCTAAGGAAGCCTCCTGTCCAAGGCTTGGGTGAATGGAAACTTTCATTAAACATGACTGCTCAGCATCTGAGGGGGTGGAGTCTGTGAGGGCACGCAGGATCTTAGCGTTTAGGACGAGCTTGTACAGGCTGAAGAGGAACAAGGCCTTCTGAGGTGAAGGGCCAGTGACACTGCCTACAATCTTGTTAGTCAGCCAAGCTCTGGTCCTAACGATAAGTAACAAGATCTGTATTGCCTAATCATCATTTGGACTACTAATCTCAGGGAAGAAGTTATCTTTCCTTTGTGCCAGATATCCTGACTGACTTCTTTGTTGATGAAACATTACTGCAGCAGTTTTATTTTACAAGCCTGAATGCATTTTTAGACAGTATGGGCAGCCTTATGTCACATGTATATCATGTTCTGCCTTCCACTTATGTAACTGGGAAAACTTTTTCTTTCAACTGTCCCAGTCATTACTGAGTTTGGCCAAGCTACCCTTGAATACAGGCAGTGGATGGGTCTTGGTAAGAAACTAGAACCACTGCAATGAATCAAAAAGTCCAGAAGGATGCTTGTATTACTGTGATTTTCATGAAGATGAAGTCTCCCTCAGACTACAAGGGGTATGGCCCTCCTTGGATTGGCACCACTGGTTTGCAGGTGAAGTCTAGAGGTGTCCAATGAAAGCAGGTTTGGGATCAGATTTTTTCCTAAAACTGATTGGGAAACTGTTTCTGAATTATACTGGAAGATGAGGAAGATTTCAGAGAGAAAGAGAAATTCTTCATATGCTCAAACAGCCAATGAAGATGTAGTTACTTCTTTAACGAGTAGTCCTAGGTGTCATTTCTTGAGAAATATGGTTGTTGTCACTTTGACAAGGAAATCATATCTGTCAATAAAGCCCAGAGCAAGTTTGGATAGAGTATTGTTGTGATGTCTGTAGGCGAGGACCGGTGATAGACAGAAAAGCAAACACTGCTAAGGAAATGAAACTTGGCTCCTTGGCAATGTGATGCCGTGAGACCTCTAAAATCTATCCTGGAGCTTTAATTTTCCATCTAGCATCAGGCTGAGTTGAACAACTCT